ATGTTTTGAGACAGTGAAGTACGTCAGTTAAGTTGACGCCACCTGCGTCACTGACAGACATTAAGTCTGTCAACATGTTTAACCTCCCATTTATCATTACTAAATCTATGATGAAATGCTACACAAGGTGTGGATACAGCTGTTTTTATTAGATTAGTTGATCTCATATTCAGAGCTCCAGATAAGCTGCGTATCTGCGTAAAATACGCATCAGAAATGCAGAAATATGCAGTAAAATAAAATCAAAGCGTATCAAATACGCAACAAACATTACAGATACGCTACAAAAATAAAACTTGTGCGTATCATCAAAATATTGTGAAGTAACCCTGCAAATCAGCAACTTATTTGGAAATTATAAACGGGCATTCCATCAACCTTGCCAAACTCCATGATGACAGTTACATCATGATCATTTGCCATCACACTTTCTTTAGGAAGTACCAGTTTGCAGGGACTAGATGAATAGTGTTTTTAAATATTTAACTTAAATACCCACATGTGTAAAAACTAGTGGGTAACAGAAATTTGAATATCCAGATAGAATTACTGATACCCAATGATTTTAAAATGCATGGGTAAAATACCCACAACACCAAAAGCTTATCTGGAGCTCTACATATTAAATAATGAAAACGTCCCGAAATCATTCAGTTTCACATTTAAATGTGCGTCAACATGATTAGCTGTTTGATAGGGGGCATTGGTGGCCCTGTCGTCAAAAGCGCCGCGAATCACTGTGCAGAGTTGCATCCCTTGTTCACGCCAGAAACCTATGATTATGGGTTCAAATCACGGTTCGCCCGGATTATGTTTCTAGGTTTGTCAGCACCATACCCGTGCTCGTGGGTTTCACCGAAGTGGTAAACGTCTGAGACCTGCATCACTTCGGGCTTTCCTCCCACATTAAGCTGACACGCCGTGATATGGATGGAATGCTGTTAAAAGCGGCGTTAAACCCAACTCACTCACTCTGCAGCATGATAAGTGAAGATGCATCCATTGATACCGCCTTCACAACTGAGGGTAGAGGTAGTTTCACCCACATACCAGAAGTGTTTCTTATGCATTGCATCACATCGTATTGAACCTCTACTGTTTAACCTCCATTTGGTAAACCTCCTAATGAACCTCCTCCTGTTTAACCTCCATTTGGTAAACCTCATATTGAACTCCTTCATTTTGATCCCCATCAGATGTATCAGTGTATCGCCAATTTAAGCCTGATGATACTATAAGGATAGACTACTACTATCGATTCTTATTTGTATTCTGAATCAAGTTTCACAAAGTAATATTTACAAAGTTTTGCAACAACCCAGACTAAAACCAGTGTTCGAAATACCTGCCTGCCCGACCGTCCGGGACGGGTTGATTTCAACTCGGGCTGCCAGATTTTCAAATCCCCCTGCCCGACGGTCGGGTTATATTTCATATGTGAAAATATTCTAAATATTTCCCGATGATAATCATTAATTCACATGTAAAGATGAATGATAAAATGTCACCAAAAAGAAACCCCGTTAGCTTATCCTGAGAAACATATGATTATAGTGGGCAGGCAGGTTTTGGTCAGGGCTGGCAAGTATTTCATCTAGCTAGTCCTGTGGTCTGGCTGAAATTTTTGGGAGTTTCATACCGTGCTAAAACTACCCCCACTATTGACTAGCATGACCTTGCCACCTGTGCTGATACAGGTATTAAATCTGATTGCATGATACACTTAAAGACTAGACCCATGAAGACCTGGGGTAGAATAGGTCTTCAGCAACCCATGCTTGCCGTAAAAGGCGACTATGATTGTCGTAAGAGGCGACTAACGGGATCGGGTGGTCAGGCTCGCTGACTTGGTTGATGCATGTCATCATATCTCATTTGTGTTGATTGATGCTCATGTCAACACTGGATTGTCTGTAGTCTGTCTTACAGACCCTGATACAAATATATCAACTACAGCCCATGCAAGTCTATAATGTTTGGCAAGTCTAGATTACTGCAGTATCAGGTATCTGAAAATGAAGAGAATCACTGGGCTCCCTTTTTATTATATTTTTATTAAGATAACTGAACAACTATTTTTTCTGTACGATATGTTCATTTCAGAGACTAGATGTTAGTCTAGATTGTCTGGTCCAGACTTGATTATTTACAGACCTCTTATAGCTGGATTATTGCTGAGTGCGGTGTTCAACAAACAAACAAATCATGCTGAACCTCTTAACGTTGAACCTATTGATGTTAAAGCTCATGTTTAACTTCACTATCAACATTTTAGGGGTGTATTCTTATGTTAATGCCAAGTTTATTAGGTAGTCCTTCTTTGTAGGAAAGTACTAGATAACAAGGACAAAATATGATAATATATGCAGGCACCGACAAGTATGCTAGGGTGCAGGATTTAACACTAGGAAATACAACCGTAGGCCAGTAAAATCAGAATTTAACCCATTGTGAGGGTGAATTATGCATAGCCATTATTTCAACGATCAGTCTTGAATGACAAAACTTTATTGCTGTTGTGATATACATGATGATATCTCCCAAGGGGGTTCCTGGAGCAGAATAGAAACATCAAGTATATAGATCAGTTAAGTAAGGATAAGAAATAATGGATGAACAACTTCTTTATTACAATTAAGAGCGACGTTTCGGTGTAGGTTCTAACACTGTTGCTTGACAACGGTGTTAGAACCTACACCGAAACATCGCTCTTAATTGTAATAAAGAAGTCGTTCATCCATAAATTCTTATCCTTACTTAGTACTCTAACTTCTAAATGCCTATCAAAGAAGTTAATAGATCAGTTGTTTGGGAAACATCTTTGTTGAGTGTGATAGTTGTGATGTTGTACTGTGATGGGATGTGTTGCGATGGTATGTGTTGCGATGGTATGTGTTGTGATGGTATGTGTATTATTCACAAATAGATAAGTCTTGTGTACATTGATCAATCGGAAGGGGTGCTAATTGGGATTGTTCACTAGCCAATATATTATTAGCAAATATCGCCGTGGGCGCTTATTAGAGCGGGGCGCTTATTACGTCGAATACGGTATATATATATATGTACTTATGCTTTCATTTATACCAGTTGCAAGTGTAAATTAACAAAATGGCAAAAGATTACAAGATATCATGACGGCAAGAGAAGTTATGTCATAATGTTTACAAACATGCACTTTTCATAATTTTTTAAGCTTTTCAAAATCTATTACCAGTCTTCTTAAATCAACGTTAGAAACTAACAGTTTTAGTCCACTAGTCCTTATAATGATAACGGGGCGGTCGGGTAGCCTAGTGGTTAAAGCGTTCGCTCGTCATGCCGAAGACCGGGGTTCGATTCCCGACGTGGGTACAATGTGTGAAGCCCATTTCTGGTGTCCCCGCCGTGATATTGCTGGAATATTGCAAAAAGCGGCGTAAAATCATACTCACTCACTCACCCATTATAATGATAACATATAGCAAAACCCTGTAAAATGGCAAATTTCTACTAGTCCTTATGATACCTTAACTATTCGGCAGTTTGGCAAGGACTATAGGACAAGTGCCAGTTTCTAAAACCGTAAATTCTATACAAAACCTCCTTGAGAGGTAATTAAGGGGAGGAAACAGTACAGAACATTCACGACTGTACAATTCAACATCACATACACTGAACACAGATCTACTGGGAAACATGGGATTAAAATATTAATGGATTGATTGAACTTGAGATGAAAAGATTCATGTGCATATCCATGGGTTTTGTGTATTCACAACATATGCATGACCTCTATATAACAGTAGTTAGTACACACCACAAAATAATAATTATCGGCAGAAGAAATACGTTTCTTCTGCTGATGTCACTTCCTGTTGGTGCATTTTCTTCTATTTCTTTTGATTATATAATGTATGGTTTATTGACTTTCTGGTGGCGTTGTATTACGGGAATAAAGGCTGTAACTATTATTTTAGTTTTGTGGTGTGTTGATAACGTAGGTTTCAGTAAACCAAAAATTGTTTTATGAAAATTTCACATATTTGTCACATACTACCTGTTCATGTCTGGTGTAAGATAATCGACATCACATTCTGTCTGTTCACATCTGGTATAAGATAATTGACATATCATTCTGTCTGTTCATGTCTGGTATTAGATAATTGACATATCACATTCTGTCTGTTCACGTCTGGTATTAGATAATTGACATATCACATACCGTCTGTTCACGTCTGGTACTATATAATTGACATATCACATTATGTCTGTTCATGTCTGGTATAAAATAATGGACATGTCACATTATGTCTGTTTACGTCTGGTATAAGAAAATTGACAAATCACATACTGTCTGTTCACGGGACGGGCTGATAGCCTGGTGGTTAAAGCGTTTGCTTGTCACGCCGAAGACCCAGGTTCGATTCCCGACATGGGTACAATGTGTGAAGCCCATTTCTGGTGTCCCCCGCCGTGATATTGCTGGAATATTGGTAAAAGCGCCGTAAAATCATGCTCGCTCACTCAGTCACTGTCTGTTCACATCTGGCATTAGATAATTGACATATCACATATTGGTTTAATGATATTATTTTCCTTAGTCCTTCACTGAAATGATAATTTTTAACTTCCAGATTACTAGTGGTACTAATGAATTAGAAACAAAACTTTTTAACATGTCAAGACACCGAAAGATAATTGGTTGGGTTCTCCGTTAGAGATCACATATTATTCACCATTTTGTACAAACACCGGTTATAAAATGTCATGGAGTAGTCAAATAAAATTGTCACTCAAAAGTCATTTTGATCCTTTTCTGATTTCTCTTTTTGTGTGTGTGTGTCAGGTTCGTAAACCAACTTAAAAAATATGAGGCTTAGGAATCTTGGGCTAAGTACAGATGTACACCTGTAGTTGTTGAGCAAAATGATTTTACAGTAATTGAATCATGCAGTCAATGGCTAAGATTCGGTGAACTTTTGTAAGAATTGTATTAATTTTGTGAAATGATTTTTCAGACCGCATTTGTTCGAGGGCACCGTCGAACTCCCAGTGACATTGAGTTCAAGGAGCTCACCCGCAGAGATGCTCAGACCGCCATGAACAAGGAGCTGCAGAAGCTGGTGCAGACAGCCGAAGGTGGAATGAAAGATGTGAGTATGTCCTGTAACTTCACACTGGTGTTGTGGATGTATTTAACAGACACTGATGATGTCCTTGCCATGAAGGTGGAATGAAAGATGTGAGTATGTCTGTCCTGTAACTTCACACTGGTGTCGTGGATGTATTTAACAGACACTGATGATGTCCTTGCCATGGAGGTGGAATGAAAGATGTGAGTATGTCCTGTAACTTCACACTGGTGTCGTGGATGTATTAAACAGACACTGATGATGTCCTTGCCATGGAGGTGGAATGAAAGATGTGAGTATGTCCTGTAACTTCACACTGGTGCCATGGATGTATTAAACAGACACTGATGATGTCCTTGCCATGAAGGTGGAATGAAAGATGTGAGTATGTCCTGCAACTTCACACTGGTGTCGTGGATGTATTAAACAGACACTGATGATGTCCTTGCCATGAAGGTGGAATGAAAGATGTGAGTATGTCCTGTAACTTCACACTGGTGTCGTGGATGTATTAAACAGACACTGATGATGTCCTTGCCATGAAGGTGGAATGAAAGATGTGAGTATGTCCTGTAACTTCACACTGGTGTTGTGGATGTATTAAACAGACACTGATGATGTCCTTGCCATGAAGGTGGAATGAAAGATGTGAGTATGTCCTGTAACTTCACACTGGTGTTGTGGATGTATTAAACAGACACTGATGATGTCCTTGCCATGGAGGTGGAATGAAAGATGTGAGTATGTCTGTCCTGTAACTTCACACTGGTGTTGTGGATGTATTAAACAGACACTGATGATGTCCTTGCCATGGAGGTGGAATGAAAGATGTGAGTATGTCCTGTAACTTCACACTGGTGTTGTGGATGTATTAAACAGACACTGATGATGTCCTTGCCGTGGTGGAATGAAAGATGTGAGTATGTCCTGTAACTTCACACTGGTGTTGTGGATGTATTAAACAGACACTGATGATGTCCTTGCCATGTAGGTGGAATGAAAGATGTGAGTATGTCCTGTAACTTCAAACTGGTGTCGTGGATGTATTAAACAGACACTGATGATGTCCTTGCCATGAAGGTGGAATGAAAGATGTGAGTATGTCCTGTAACTTCACACTGGTGTTGTGGATGTATTAAACAGACACTGATGATGTCCTTGCCGTGGTGGAATGAAAGATGTGAGTATGTCCTGTAACTTCACACTGGTGTTGTGGATGTATTAAACAGACACTGATGATGTCCTTGCCATGAAGGTGGAATGAAAGATGTGAGTATGTCCTGTAACTTCACACTGGTGTCGTGGATGTATTAAACAGACACTGATGATGTCCTTGCCATGAAGGTGGAATGAAAGATGTGAGTATGTCCTGTAACTTCACACTGGTGTCGTGGATGTATTTAACAGACACTGATGATGTCCTTGCCATGGAGGTGGAATGAAAGATGTGAGTATGTCTGTCCTGTAACTTCACACTGGTGTTGTGGATGTATTTAACAGACACTGATGATGTCCTTGCCATGGAGGTGGAATGAAAGATGTGAGTATGTCCTGTAACTTCACACTGGTGTTGTGGATGTATTTAACAGACACTGATGATGTCCTTGCCATGGAGGTGGAATGAAAGATGTGAGTATGTCCTGCAACTTCACACTGGTGTCGTGGATGTATTAAACAGACACTGATGATGTCCTTGCCATGGAGGTGGAATGAAAGATGTGAGTATGTCCTGTAACTTCACACTGGTGTTGTGGATGTATTAAACAGACACTGATGATGTCCTTGCCATGAAGGTGGAATGAAAGATGTGAGTATGTCCTGCAACTTCACACTGGTGTTGTGGATGTATTTAACAGACACTGATGATGTCCTTGCCATGAAGGTGGAATGAAAGATGTGAGTATGTCCTGTAACTTCACACTGGTGTCGTGGATGTATTAAACAGACACTGATGATGTCCTTGCCATGAAGGTGGAATGAAAGATGTGAGTATGTCTGTCCTGTAACTTCACACTGGTGTTGTGGATGTATTTAACAGACACTGATGATGTCCTTGCCATGGAGGTGGAATGAAAGATGTGAGTATGTCCTGTAACTTCACACTGGTGTCGTGGATGTATTAAACAGACACTGATGATGTCCTTGCCATGAAGGTGGAATGAAAGATGTGAGTATGTCCTGTAACTTCACACTGGTGTCGTGGATGTATTTAACAGACACTGATGATGTCCTTGCCATGGAGATGGAATGAAAGATGTGAGTATGTCTGTCCTGTAACTTCACACTGGTGTTGTGGATGTATTTAACAGACACTGATGATGTCCTTGCCATGGAGGTGGAATGAAAGATGTGAGTATGTCCTGTAACTTCACACTGGTGTTGTGGATGTATTTAACAGACACTGATGATGTCCTTGCCATGGAGGTGGAATGAAAGATGTGAGTATGTCCTGCAACTTCACACTGGTGTCGTGGATGTATTAAACAGACACTGATGATGTCCTTGCCATGGAGGTGGAATGAAAGATGTGAGTATGTCCTGTAACTTCACACTGGTGTTGTGGATGTATTAAACAGACACTGATGATGTCCTTGCCATGAAGGTGGAATGAAAGATGTGAGTATGTCCTGCAACTTCACACTGGTGTTGTGGATGTATTTAACAGACACTGATGATGTCCTTGCCATGAAGGTGGAATGAAAGATGTGAGTATGTCCTGTAACTTCACACTGGTGTCGTGGATGTATTTAACAGACACTGATGATGTCCTTGCCATGGAGGTGGAATGAAAGATGTGAGTATGTCTGTCCTGTAACTTCACACTGGTGTTGTGGATGTATTTAACAGACACTGATGATGTCCTTGCCATGGAGGTGGAATGAAAGATGTGAGTATGTCCTGTAACTTCACACTGGTGTCGTGGATGTATTTAACAGACACTGATGATGTCCTTGCCATGGAGGTGGAATGAAAGATGTGAGTATGTCCTGCAACTTCACACTGGTGTCGTGGATGTATTAAACAGACACTGATGATGTCCTTGCCATGGAGGTGGAATGAAAGATGTGAGTATGTCCTGTAACTTCACACTGGTGTTGTGGATGTATTAAACAGACACTGATGATGTCCTTGCCATGAAGGTGGAATGAAAGATGTGAGTATGTCCTGCAACTTCACACTGGTGTTGTGGATGTATTTAACAGACACTGATGATGTCCTTGCCATGAAGGTGGAATGAAAGATGTGAGTATGTCCTGTAACTTCACACTGGTGTCGTGGATGTATTAAACAGACACTGATGATGTCCTTGCCATGAAGGTGGAATGAAAGATGTGAGTATGTCTGTCCTGTAACTTCACACTGGTGTTGTGGATGTATTTAACAGACACTGATGATGTCCTTGCCATGGAGGTGGAATGAAAGATGTGAGTATGTCCTGCAACTTCACACTGGTGTCGTGGATGTATTAAACAGACACTGATGATGTCCTTGCCATGAAGGTGGAATGAAAGATGTGAGTATGTCCTGTAACTTCACACTGGTGTTGTGGATGTATTTAACAGACACTGATGATGTCCTTGCCATGAAGGTAGAATGAAAGATGTGAGTATGTCCTGTAACTTCACACTGGTGTCATGGATGTATTAAACAGACACTGATGATGTCCTTGCCATGAAGGTGGAATGAAAGATGTGAGTATGTCCTGCAACTTCACACTGGTGTCATGGATGTATTAAACAGACACTGATGATGTCCTTGCCATGAAGGTGGAATGAAAGATGTGAGTATGTCCTGCAACTTCACACTGGTGTCATGGATGTATTAAACAGACACTGATGATGTCCTTGCCATGGAGGTGGAATGAAAGATGTGAGTATGTCCTGCAACTTCACACTGGTGTCGTGGATGTATTAAACAGACACTGATGATGTCCTTGCCATGTAGGTGGAATGAAAGATGTGAGTATGTCCTGCAACTTCACACTGGTGTCATGGATGTATTAAACAGACACTGATGATGTCCTTGCCATGGAGGTGGAATGAAAGATGTGAGTTTGTCCTGCAACTTCACACTGGTGTCGTGGATGTATTAAACAGACACTGATGATGTCCTTGCCATGGAGGTGGAATGAAAGATGTGAGTATGTCCTGCAACTTCACACTGGTGTCGTGGATGTATTAAACAGACACTGATGATGTCCTTGCCATGAAGGTGGAATGAAAGATGTGAGTATGTCCTGCAACTTCACACTGGTGTCGTGGATGTATTAAACAGACACTGATGATGTCCTTGCCATGAAGGTGGAATGAAAGATGTGAGTATGTCCTGTAACTTCACACTGGCTTCATGGATGTATTAAACAGACACTGATGATGTCCTTGCCATGAAGGTGGAATGAAAGATGTGAGTATGTCCTGTAACTTCACACTGGTGTTGTGGATGTATTAAACAGACACTGATGATGTCCTTGCCATGAAGGTGGAATGAAAGATGTGAGTATGTCCTGCAACTTCACACTGGTGTCGTGGATGTATTAAACAGACACTGATGATGTCCTTGCCATGAAGGTGGAATGAAAGATGTGAGTATGTCCTGTAACTTCACACTGGTGTCGTGGATGTATTAAACAGACACTGATGATGTCCTTGCCATGAAGGTGGAATGAAAGATGTGAGTATGTCCTGTAACTTCACACTGGTGTCGTGGATGTATTAAACAGACACTGATGATGTCCTTGCCATGAAGGTGGAATGAAAGATGTGAGTATGTCCTGTAACTTCACACTGGTGTTGTGGATGTATTAAACAGACACTGATGATGTCCTTGCCATGTAGGTGGAATGAAAGATGTGAGTATGTCCTGCAACTTCACACTGGTGTTGTGGATGTATTTAGCAGACACTGATGATGTCCTTGCCATGTAGGTGGAATGAAAGATGTGAGTTTGTCCTGTAACTTCACACTGGCTTCATGGATGTATTAAACAGACACTGATGATGTCCTTGCCATGAAGGTGGAATGAAAGATGTGGGTATGTCCTGTAACTTAACACTGGTGTCGTGGATGTATTTAACAGACACTGATGATGTCCTTGCCATGAAGGTGGAATGAAAGATGTGAGTATGTCCTGCAACTTTACACTGGTGTCATGGATGTATTTAACAGACACTGATGATGTCCTTGCCATGGAGGTGGAATGAAAGATGTGAGTATGTCCTGTAACTTCACACTGGTGTCGTGGATGTATTTAACAGACACTGATGATGTCCTTGCCATGTAGGTGGAATGAAAGATGTGAGTTTGTCCTGTAACTTCACACTGGCTTCATGGATGTATTAAACAGACACTGATGATGTCCTTGCCATGAAGGTGGAATGAAAGATGTGGGTATGTCCTGTAACTTAACACTGGTGTCGTGGATGTATTTAACAGACACTGATGATGTCCTTGCCATGAAGGTGGAATGAAAGATGTGAGTATGTCCTGCAACTTTACACTGGTGTCATGGATGTATTTAACAGACACTGATGATGTCCTTGCCATGGAGGTGGAATGAAAGATGTGAGTATGTCCTGTAACTTCACACTGGTGTTGTGGATGTATTTAACAGACACTGATGATGTCCTTGCCATGTAGGTGGAATGAAAGATGTGAGTTTGTCCTGTAACTTCACACTGGTGTTGTGGATGTATTAAACAGACACTGATGATGTCCTTGCCATGTAGGTGGAATGAAAGATGTGAGTATGTCCTGTAACTTCACACTGGTGTCGTGGATGTATTAAACAGACACTGATGATGTCCTTGCCATGTAGGTGGAATGAAAGATGTGAGTATGTCCTGTAACTTCACACTGGTGTCGTGGATGTATTAAACAGACACTGATGATGTCCTTGCCATGAAGGTGGAATGAAAGATGTGGGTATGTCCTGTAACTTAACACTGGTGTCGTGGATGTATTTAACAGACACTGATGATGTCCTTGCCATGAAGGTGGAATGAAAGATGTGAGTATGTCCTGTAACTTCACACTAGAGATATGGATGTATTTAGCAGACACTGATGATTACGACAATGAAGAGTCAGTAAGAGTACCAGTCATAACTTTTTCAATAATATATAGTTGCAAATAAATACCCCATAACCCGCCCTGAAGAACACAGGCTGCACATAGATTTCTCAGCAGGAAAACAGCACGAGTTAGCCTCAGCTTTGAAACAGCTGTTTTCTATCAATTTTCATTTTTTTTATTTCTTTTACAATTGCAGATTGAAAGATGTCGGTAAGATACATTTGTTGTAGCAGGATCACAAGAGGTATATGTAGTTTTATGTGATCTTCCTTCAGTTTTATACCACTCGTCTCCAGTTCGTGGTATAAAACCAACGCAGGATGCATAATATTAGTTATTTGCTCCATACGATGTCATATTAGGTAAGCAGAAAAATATTGGGCGAGGCGTGAGATTTGGCTTGAAATTTCCAGCTGCTGCATCTTGATTTTGAGGTTTGTGGTTTTGGGGTGTGAGGTGAGGTTAAATGGGGTTTAACGTCGCGTCCAAGATTATTGCACTTATATAGCGACGTGCATGTACGTGTGTGTGTGTGTGTGTGTGGCTGCTTGTACACAGTATACTGACTCCGAGCCGACCAGTCCTTGTTTTAGCCCCTTGATGCCGAGCGCTAGACAGGGTAACAACAAGTACCATCTTTTAACGTCTTTTGGTATGACGCGGCCTTGGACCGAACCCCGGACCTTCCGCTCTCCAGGAGGACGCTCCACCACTAGGCCACGGAGGCGGTCTCATCATTGGAATGTAACAATCTTGGTCATATCCATTCCAACAACCTATTCTTTTTTCTAGTTAATTTTGTTTGTTGAATTCAGAAAGTGAATTTAATTTTCAGAAAATCCGGACTGAGTTTGATGGTTTTGAAGGTCTGTTTGCCCGCTTCCTCAGTGAATCGGGTCCATCCGTCATCTGGGATAAGATCAAGCAGCTGTCTGATGAAACTGTAAGTTCCGTGTTCCCTTTAATATATATTACCGTATTTTCTTGAGTATACTGCGCACCCATGTATAACGCGCACCCCCCTCTAGCGGATTCAGTATTTTGGACCCCAAAAATCGAATGTCAAGTGCAGAAAAAATTACACCGTAGATCTACCCCTTCAGCGAATTCCGGTAAACGAACAGGTGATGAGAAACTTGGTCAGTACAAATTCGAAATTTGAGATAAATAATCACCAGACATGTTGATTTACCGTTTAAATTGTATTTTTTGTTCTGCTAGGCATTGTTTTACATCCATGGATTAAGATTACCTTGTGTATTTTCTCGTAAACTAAGCCGGAAACAGCAATCAGCTGTACAAACAATTTTTCTTGGAATCTACCGGTGATTCGGTCAAGACACACCCAATGATAGGATTTCAATGCAAGGATCTGGAACATTTCATGCCTTCAGAATCACTGCTACATGATTGATGCCCAGTGAAATGTGTTTGACTTGCAGCTGTTACAAATGATAAATGTTACATGTCGTCAGCATTAGTGTGTAAGGGTGATCTGTATAGTATGGTTAAATACATGTGTGAAAATGGGTAGTCAGATACGGCCAACTGAGGTGAGTCAAATAAGGGATAAACCTACTGTGTTTTCCATTTAGAGGTGTTAAACATAGATTTGATACTCATTCAAGAAAGTGATTTTCACTCCTTACTTGTAAGTGATTGGGTAGGCTAGTGGTAGGTTAAAGCATTTGTTTGGAGGTGTTTGTGTATTTCCCTCAGGTTTGTCACTATGGTGGTCTGCCTACACCAGACCCTGCTCGGATAAAGGAACTACCTGATAGCCTAGCTCCACCCCAACTCTCTAACTGATTCACAATGTGTCTGTGTATTTCCCTCAGGTTCGTCGCTATGATGGTCTGCCTACACCAGACCCTGCAGCCTAGCTCCACCCCAACTCTCCAATGATTCACGATGTGTCTGTGTATTTCCCTCAGGTTCGTCGCTATGGTGGTCTGCCTACACCAGACCCTGCGGCCTAGCTCCACCCCAACTCTCCAACTGATTCACGATGTGTCTGTGTATTTCCCTCAGGTTCGTCGCTATGGTGGTCTGCCTACACCAGACCCTGCCCGGATAAATAAACTACCTGATAGCCTAGCTCCACCCCAACTCTCTAACTGATTCACAATGTGTCTGTGTATTTCCCTCAGGTTCGTCGCTATGGTGGTCTGCCTGCACCAGACCCTGCTCGGATATAGGAACTACCTTAGCCTAGCTCCACCCCAACTCTCCAACTGATTCACGATGTGTCTGTGTATTTCCCTCAGGTTCGTCGCTATGGTGGTCTGCCTACACCAGACCCTGCTCGGATAAATAAACTACCTGATAGCCTAGCTCCACCTCAACTCTCTAACTGATTCATGATGTTGTCTGTGTATTTCCCTCAGGTTCGTCGCTATGGTGGTCTGCCTACACCAGACCCTGCTCGGATAAATAAACTACCTGATAGCCTAGTTCCACCCCAACTCTCTAACTGATTCACGATGTGTCTGTGTATTTCCCTCAGGTTCGTCGCTATGGTGCTCTGCCTACACCAGACTCTGCAGCCTAGCTCCACCCCAACTCTCCAATGATTCACGATGTGTCTGTGTATTTCCCTCAGGTTCGTCGCTATGGTGGTCTGCCTACACCAGACCCTGCGGCCTAGCTCCACCCCAACTCTCCAACTGATTCACGATGTGTCTGTGTATTTCCCTCAGGTTCGTCGCTAGGGTGCTCTGCCTACACCAGACCCTGCAGCCTAGCTCCACCCCAACTCTCCAACTGATTCACAATGTGTCTGTGTATTTCCCTCAGGTTCGTCGCTATGGTGGTCTGCCTACACCAGACCCTGCTCGGATTAAGGAGCTCCTCAACCAGCTGGTGGTCATCAAGCTTAATGGCGGCCTTGGCACGGGAATGGGATGTAAAGGACCAAAGAGTGTCATCTCCGTCCGAAATGAGCTCACGTTCCTTGATCTTACTGTACAGCAAATAGAGGTATGCTAACTTTTGGAATTGCCTTTTTGATGTGTGATGAGTGTATCAGGTCCGAACATCTCTTATAGACCTCCAGTGATGTCATCCCATTGTTCTCAATTCGAGTTAAATCTAAAAAAAAGGGATGTTGTAATTTCCCTGGGATTTTATATATTTGCTATATAATGTGTAATAATATCCTGGGAGTCTATTAATACAACTTCCGTTCAGATTGTAACTTGTAATGAAATGTAAAATCAAATGACAGATGTTATCTTTATATTCCCGAGGATCTAACACACAACCTTCGTATCTCTAGCCCAGTGAGTGTACTACGGAGGTGCTGATAAATTGCAATACTTTTTAGAATGTCTTGTTCGAGAGCTGTACGCCAGCAACAGATATTTTATGCCTGTTTCCTAAGGTTCATGGAAAGTCTGTTTGAAACATACAGATGTTGATAAATGTTGTTTTAAGTTTCTTTTTTCGGCTGATAAGGTAGATAAAACACTTCGCCAATTTCCCTCAACACCCGGTTCTAGCATTCTGTCATTATTATTTTGGATACATATTTACCCGAAATGCTGAAATTGACTCTGGTTATGAATTATTAAGAATACATCTTTAGACTTTAGAAAAGACATGCAGGAATGTTACATGACTAGTTCAAGAAACAGATGATGCACAGATAGTTTAGTCATTTCTTACAATCTGTCCGCCATTTCTTCCCAAAATAATGATTTACAAGCAAAATTAGCTCTCTCTTTTTGCAACCATGCATAGCCTGAATATATTGTAAATATATTGTAAATAGCGTTTTGGATAAATGTATTTTTTTTAAGGGAATACTGGTTTGTGTCTGTTGACAAAAACATTTCTTGTTTATTTTCTTTATTCATTTTTCTTTTTATACTTGCGTTAATTCATATAAAAGCAATACAAGCCCTCCATGATTGGACAAGGAATACCAGTTGAGCACAACTCCAACAGCAGCTCTGGTTCTTCCATCCATTTAAGGAATTCTTCTAAATATCAGCCCAATCAATGGGTCAGAGTGCCCTGGGGAGCCTACAACCAAAGCATGTGACAGGCGCGATCAATTGGTCATACTCTCCCAGGGCGCTCTGACCCACTGATCGGGCCTGTCACATGCTTTGGTTGTAGACTCCCAGGGCACTCTGACCCACTGATCAGGCCTGTCACATGTTTTGGTTGTTCTCTCCTAGGGCACTCTGACCCACTGATCGGGCCTTTCACATGCTTTGGTTGTACTCTCCCAGGGCACTCTGACCCACTGATCGGGCCTGTCACATGCTTTGGTTGTTCTCTCCCAGGGCACTCTGACCCACTGATCAGGCCTGTTACATGCTTTGGTTGTTCTCTCCCAGGGCACTCTGACCCACTGATTGGGCCAGTCACATGCTTTGGTTGTTCTCTCCCAGGGCACTCTGACCCACTGATTGGGCCTGTCACATGCTTTGGTTGTAGACTCCCAGGGCACTCTGACCCACTGATCGGGCCTGTCACATGCTTTGGTTGTTCTCTCCCAGGGCACTCTGACCCACTGATCGGGCCTGTCACATGCTTTGGTTGTAGACTCCCAGGGCACTCTGACCCACTGATTGGGCCTGTCACATGCTTTGGTTGTTCTCTCCCAGGGCACTCTGACCCACTGATTGGGCCTTTGACATGCTTTGGTTGTACTCCCCAGGGCACTCTATAATAGACATAATAGAATAATAGACATTTTTTATTTAACTGAGAATATACATTAGTTTAACCAAACAGAAATGCATTATTTAGTATAGTCATACATTATCAAACCAGTTTAGAGGTGTGTGTGTGATTGAAGTCGAAATAATTAGTCTTCCTAAACAAGAGAATGTGAAAACTAATTTTGTATTTCTTGTATTTGCAGCATTTAAACAAAACCTACAACACAGATGTTCCGCTAGTATTGATGAATTCCTTCAACACAGACGAAGACACCTCCAAGGTGCTGAAGAAGTACGGACAGGTGAAAGTCAGTATCTACACCTTCAACCAAAGCAGGTAAGGAACTGCAATACATGGTTCTCAACTTCAGGGCTTGCTGTTATATACAGTGGAGTCTGTTGAAACAGGTAGGGGACTGAACAGTATACCGTATTCGACGTAATAAGCGCCCCACTCTAATAATATTAGATATTTGCTAATATATTGGCTAGTGAACAATCCCAATTAGCACCCCTTCCGATTGATCAATGTACACAAGACTTATTTATTCGTGTATAATACGCACTCGTGTGTTATATCACCCTTAATTATGGGCAATTAAATTCTGGAAAAATATATCTGTCGTATGTAAACATTTCAGGCTGTTAGCATAAACCACGAAAATTACGATCTTTCAACTCAAAATAATATTCTAATAAGTGCCCCTATTTCTAATTTTGAGAGCACCCTGGGCGCTTATTACGTTGAATGCGGTAGTCTAGTTTAGACAGAGGTCCAGATTAGTGAGAGTTCCCCAGTTCTCCAGTCATGTTTTGGCAGATTCCACTTTATATTGTCCTGTACTCGAATTTTGAACGACATCTCTTTTCGAACAGCCGTATTTTGATATTTATTTGTCGCTATAACGAGAGGTGTGACGTCATCAAAACATGCGTTCAGCCTGTCAACATTGGGTTCATGTGAAGAACTATACACCATTCGTCACCACTCGCCCCTTTCCGTAACTTGCAAGAAGACTCGTCACCCTATCGATGCATTCGTCACCACTCGCCCCTTTCCGTAACTTGCAAGAAGACTCGTCACCCTATCGATGCATTCGTCACCACTCGCCCCTTTCCGTAACTTGCAAGAAGACTCGTCACCCTATCGATGCATTCGTCACCACTCGCCCCTTTCCGTAACTTGCAAGAAGACTCGTCACCCTATCGATGCATTCGTCACCACTCGCCCCTTTCCGTAACTTGCAAGAAGACTCGTCACCCTATCGATGCATTCGTCACCACTCGCCCCTTTCCGTAACTTGCAAGAAGACTCGTCACCCTATCGATGCATTCGTCACCACTCGCCCCTTTCCGTAACTTGCAAGAAGACTCGTCACCCTATCGATGCATTCGTCACCACTCGCCCCTTTCCGTAACTTGCAAGAAGACTCGTCACCCTATCGATGCATTCGTCACCACTCGCCCCTTTCCGTAACTTGCAAGAAGACTCGTCACCCTATCGATGCATTCGTCACCACTCGCCCCTTTCCGTAACTTGCAAGAAGACTCGTCACCCTATCGATGCATTCGTCACCAATCACCCCTTTCCGTAACTTGCAAGAAGACTCGTCACCCTATCGATGCATTCGTCACCACTCGCCCCTTTCCGTAACTTGCAAGAAGACTAGTCACCCTATCGATGCATTCGTCACCACTCGCCCCTTTCCGTAACTTGCAAGAAGACTCGTCACCCTATCGATGCATTCGTCACCACTCACCCCTTTCCGTAACTTGCAAGAAGACTCGTCACCCTATCGATGCATTCGTCACCACTCGCCCCTTTCCGTAACTTGCAAGAAGACTCGTCACCCTATCGATGAATGTTATGTGCGAAAATATGACAAACCAATCAGAATGCACGTATGATTTCAAGTTCTTCGTCAAAGAATTCCTCAGAAATTATTTTTGATTTTACATATGTCTTGCATACAAAAATATACCAAAGCCACAGTTAAATGTGTTCAATCATACTGTAAAAATTCCGCACGTCCCAATGTGCTTTAAATTGCATCTGAAATATATATAATATATGGGGAAATATATGTGAACCATTTCGCAACGAGTTGACAATTGTTTTAGGTATGCCCGTTTGCACTAAGACGGAACCCGGTCGCAAAAATGGCCCTGAGGGGGCACGAGTCGCTATTTGGCTTGTCCCGGAATAACACGAGTTGGTCACGGATGTACTGTACACCTGTGAGAACATTATGGCGTCATTCAGAATATTGGCGCCCCTGTCATGATAAAAGGAAGAGTAAAATAGTGTGAACACAATAATTTGAAAAATATTAATATTTGGTGAATACATTTCAAACTTTCAATTACTTTTTGAGTTTTAATGGCGAAATGCAAGAATTATGTTGAGAAATGTGCGCCAAAACATGTCTGTTCATTCATGGAAACCCTGCTAAAGTATAAAATCAATGAGGTGTTCGAAAATAGGTGACGTCACTTGAGTGCTGCGGAAGTTTACAGACGAGGTAATGGAGGTCACGCCTTTTATCGAGATTTTTTTTCTCTTTGAATGTAGCTGAATTCTTTTGCTGAAGACATCACCTACAGGTATGAAGCAGAATTTGAGTTTTGATTCACTCATCCCTCGAAGTATCAGCAATGCCATCTTAACTGTTTGAAATTAGGGTACGTCAGGATATAAACATCTGCATATATCCGTTCCAAAGAATTCCCACTGTCTTAGCCAATTCTGACTTATTTTTTCTCTCTAAAAGGTTTTTAATTTCTTTGATATCCCCACAAGTTTCAGCAAAAAGCAGACAAGTACAAAATGGCAATATCACATGACCATCACATGACCATCACATGATCATCACATGCACAACTAACCTTGACCTTTTTAGAGACAGGCTAGTTACCTCCACAGCAAGCATGCCATTAATGGCACCATACATTTTGTACGACGCAACAGCATACACTGACGAATACCTATATCCCACAACTGTATGTTCTGGGGGCTTTTTTTATAAAGTGATATTTTGATATTGTTTTTTGAGCATTCTCTTAAATACTCCCAGTGTGCATGTTTGGCTCTCTAAACATCTTCCCCTCTGAAAGTTGCAGACTATGGGAGCTGAACTTTGGGAGGTCCGTTTCTCCTGATGATGACATATTTTTTTCAAATAATTTTTTTAATGTGTCCTCTGTATTTATGCAGACAATATTTGAACATCAGTGCTGACAGTGACTTTTGTCTTTCTTGACTTTTTCCACTGTTAACTATATATCCAGGTGAGCTACAGTGCCTTGAAAATATATATTCAAATCACTCGATGAAATAACATGTTATTTGATAAAAAATTATAAATATCTTCTATAAAGGCACCTTCCTGAGGCAAGGGAGTTAACTGACTTTAGAAGTTCAGTTTCCACCCTAAACGAACTAGGCTGGAATTATGGGGTATTATTTTAGCTGGAATAACAAGTCTATGCATAGTCCAATCAAAATCGCATAAGGAAATCGACATCCAGTTCGTAAAGTGACGTGCAAATTTCAATCAAATGCAGGATTTGCAAAGCATGTGCACCGCCAACTCGGCATCAACAGATGTTTTACAAATCTTTTCATGTTTTTTATCAAGGTGCTCACACGATTTGATGCACTTTATCACAATATAGATCTTGATTATCGATCAGATCGCCTTGACTGGGCGCCGCCATTTTGTTTGAAGCAAATGCAAATGCCGTAACTATAAGCAGTGGAATCTGATTGAGGTACATAGAAGGGACACAACTCATACCCAGTAATAGCCACCGGGGGCGCTACGATCAAGCCTAGAAATTCCACCCCAGTTCAACTAGAAGGGAACCGGGACTTTTATGGTCAGTTAACGCCCTTGCCTCGGGTATATCAATAAAGGACAATAAAATTATCCATGTTTACATGTCTAGAATAAACAGTAGACAGTGTATTAGTGTGATGTTCTGTGTTAGATGGTATCTTGGCGTTCCCTGTGGCTTCTTTTATTTAGAGAAACGCTTGAGGTGCTTACAACAGTGATAAATGTGCTTTGATACAGCTGGAAGCACTAGAGGGTGTAATGGGAGTGCAAAGCCTGACTTCACTGTTTAAAGCCATACCGTATTCGACGTAATAAGCGCCCATGGCGATATTTGCTAATATATTGGCTAGTGAACAATCCCAATCAGCACCCCTTCCGATTGATCAATGTACACAAGACTTATTTATTCGTGTGTAATACGCACTCCTGTGTTATATGCACCCTTAATTATGGGCAATTAAATTCTGGAAAAATATATCTGTCGTATGTAATTATTTCAGGCTGTTAGCATAAATCACGAAATTTATCTTTCATCTCTGTTTTTTTCCACCAAAGTAATATTCTAATAAGAGCCCCCTATTTCTAATTTTGAGAGCGCCCTGGGCGCTTATTACGTCAAATACGGTATGTGTCTTTCCATGTTCTAATGGAGATTTTATATGAATAGAGATATTGTTCTTAAGAATAAATTTCTTTAAGGTTTTAGAATTCAGCGGAGTATACCTAATTTGTCTCTTAAACAAACATTGCCACCAATAATGCATGTGCAGAGGGATCTATGTGATCACTGTCAGATGTTCAATTTAGTAATGAATTAAAAAAATTGATTTTCTTTCACTAAATGCAGATATTTCTTATTAGTGATAGATCACGTGTCCACATAACGCTCCTTATAGCTAAAATGGATAGAATTATCGTTAAACAGCCCGCATGTTATCAGAAATGAGCGGGCCACTGTAACTTGATAATGCCCTCATATTGCTTGACGACGGGCCATTATCACGCCCGTTGTTAGGTTACGTCATTGATAAGGATAGGTGATGTCACGTTCAATAGTGACGTCATCTGGTTTGTTCTGTGACGTTTCCATATTTGTAAAAGTGGGTCAGTGACATTTGTGTTGATTGCAGTAAATGTTTCAAAACTGATATTGTTGTTTCTTTCCATCCATTTTACCTATAATAACGGTAATGCTATTTGTCAGGGCATTATCATTTGCAGAAGCCCTCGGTCTTTTCAACTACCCTTATAATGTATGTGTTCTGTTTCAGATATCCAAGGATCAACCGAGAGTCCCTGCTGCCTGTCTCTCTTAATTTCGGTGCTGAGAGCCAGGACGGGTATGTACCATATATGGCTGTGGGGGGCTTTCAAGGGGGGTCATCTTACACACAGGGTTGAAGAGTTTTGATGTTTTTCCCCACAACACAAAGACATTACTATGAGTACTTAACACCGGAAATACCATGTCAACAAATCCATACTGAAGTACACAAATTAATCATGTAATTACACTGTCTGATTATAAAAAGTGTTCATTGTATACCTGGTATTCGGTCTGTCAGAAGACCCCATTAGGAATTCAGGTAAGAATAGGTCAAGTGACTCTTGAGACAACTAAATGAGGGTGCCAACCCTCCATTTGGAACGATGGATGCCAAGCCCTGTGAAGGGGTATTCCCGATGCCACAGTGCAGTAGGCGGGATGCCATGAAATGTTTACCTGGTACAAGGATGCCAATATTTCAATTTTGAAATTCATTTTTCGTCTTTTTTATTGCAGTGAGTGACAAATCAATAACATATTTAGCCCTAAGCTTATGAGCACACGTTTTATGTGAAAATATCTGTCTAATGTACTTGTACAAGCTGCGTACAGCGAAAGAGTGCAAACCAGAGGGGGTTCCAGGTTAGAACTGTTACCTAGCAACCAATGATGGTTGTAGGTGACTTAATGGATGAAGTTGTCAGGCCTGGTTGTGTCAACTTGACCCGACAGCGTTGATTGTTGCTCATAATATCAATCACTGGATTGTTTGGTCCAGACTGGAATATTAACAGGCCTCTTTCACGTAGCTAGAATAGTGCAGCAACAGTAGAATTAAACAACAAAAATGCAACAGCATCACACGCACACACACGCACACACACGCACACTTTGGAGCACGCGCACGCACATGCACACACACTCACATATAGATATGTGTATTCATTCGGGCTACCCGGGTACCGCCCCCCCTATTACCTGACCTTACCCTAGTATCCTCTGTAGGTCTCAAGGTGAGGGTACAAACTGTCCGATTGGGGATAGTTTGACCGTAGCTCTGGTAAAATACACGTATAAAACGATCTGGTGTATACACTGAAGTTGACTGAAGTTTTATTTTTATTCAAACATATAAAAGTCAAAAGGAATGGGCGTAGTAGTCAGAAAGAACTACGAAAATAAGTGACTTGTAGTTTAAACATGGAGTTCTATTAAACACTATATCACATGACTAACCACATGTCCGGGTAGTCCTGTGGGTACCCAGGTCCTACTCAGTACCCACCCGACCCTTGTACCCGAGTTACCCATCCCAGCCCTGGTATTCATGATCATGATTGTTTGTGTTACAGGTGGTACCCCCCCGGCCACGGAGATGTTTACCTCAGTTTCTACAACTCCGGGCTCTTGGAGGAGTTTATAAAGGCAGGGAAGAAGTATGTGTTCGTCTCCAACATCGATAACCTGGGTGCAACTGTCGACCTTAGTATCCTTTGTCAGCAACAGCTGGTGTGAGTGACAGGAAGAATCTATACCCAGGCTCACTCACTTTGTCAGCAACAGCTGGTGTGAGTGACAGGAAGAATCTATACCCAGGCTCACTCACTTTGTCAGCAACAGCTGGTGTGAGTGACAGGAAGAATCTATACCCAGGCTCACTCACTTTGTTAGCAACAGCTGGTGTGAGTGACAGGAAGAATCTATACCCAGGCTCACTCACCTTGTTAGCAACAGCTGGTGTGAGTGACAGGAAGAATCTATACCCAGGATCACTCACCTTGTTAGCAACAGCTGGTGTGAGTGACAGGAAGAATCTATACCCAGGCTCACTCACCTTGTCAGCAACAGCTGGTGTGAGTGACAGGAAGAATCTATACCCAGACTCACTCACTTTGTTAGCAACAGCTGGTGTGAGTGACAGGAAGAATCTATACCCAGGATCACTTACTTTGTCAGCAACAGCTGGTGTGAGTGACAGGAAGAATCTATACCCAGGCTCACTCACCTTGTTAGCAACAGCTGGTGTGAGTGACAGGAAGAATCTATACCCAGGCTCACTCACCTTGTCAGCAACAGCTGGTGTGAGTGACAGGAAGAATCTATACCCAGGCTCACTCATTTTGTCAGCAACAGCTGGTGTGAGTGACAGGAAGAATCTATACCCAGGCTCACTCACTTTGTTAGCAACAACTGGTGTGAGTGACAGGAAGAATCTTTACCCAGGCTCACTCACTTTGTCAGCAACAGCTGGTGTGAGTGACAGGAAGAATCTATACCCAGGCTCACTCACTTTGTTAGCAACAGCTGGTGTGAGTGACAGGAAGAATCTATACCCAGGCTCACTCACTTTGTCAGCAACAGCTGGTGTGAGTGACAGGAAGAATCTATACCCAGGATCACTCACTTTGTTAGCAACAGCTGGTGTGAGTGACAGGAAGAATCTATACCCAGGCTCACTCACTTTGTCAGCAACAGCTGGTGTGAGTGACAGGAAGAATCTATACCCAGGCTCACTCACTTTGTCAGCAACAGCTGTTGTCAGTGACAGGAAGAATCTATACCCAGGCTCACTCACTTTGTTAGCAACAGCTGGTGTGAGTGACAGGAAGAATCTATACCCAGGCTCACTCACTTTGTTAGCAACAGCTGGTGTGAGTGACAGGAAGAATCTATACCCAGGCTCACTCACTTTGTCAGCAACAGCTGGTGAGAGTGACAGGAAGAATCTATACCCAGGCTCACTCACTTTGTCAGCAACAGCTGGTGTGAGTGACAGGAAGAATCTATACCCAGGATCACTCACTTTGTTAGCAACAGCTGGTGTGAGTGACAGGAAGAATCTATACCCAGGCTCACTCACTTTGTCAGCAACAGCTGGTGTGAGTGACAGGAAGAATCTATACCCAGGCTCACTCACTTTGTCAGCAACAGCTGGTGTGAGTGACAGGAAGAATCTATACCCAGGCTCACTCACTTTGTTAGCAACAGCTGGTGTGAGTGACAGGAAGAATCTATACCCAGGCTCACTCACCTTGTTAGCAACAGCTGGTGTGAGTGACAGGAAGAATCTATACCCAGGATCACTCACCTTGTTAGCAACAGCTGGTGTGAGTGACAGGAAGAATCTATACCCAGGCTCACTCACCTTGTCAGCAACAGCTGGTGTGAGTGACAGGAAGAATCTATACCCAGACTCACTCACTTTGTTAGCAACAGCTGGTGTGAGTGACAGGAAGAATCTATACCCAGGATCACTTACTTTGTCAGCAACAGCTGGTGTGAGTGACAGGAAGAATCTATACCCAGGCTCACTCACCTTGTTAGCAACAGCTGGTGTGAGTGACAGGAAGAATCTATACCCAGGCTCACTCACCTTGTCAGCAACAGCTGGTGTGAGTGACAGGAAGAATCTATACCCAGGCTCACTCATTTTGTCAGCAACAGCTGGTGTGAGTGACAGGAAGAATCTATACCCAGGCTCACTCACTTTGTTAGCAACAACTGGTGTGAGTGACAGGAAGAATCTTTACCCAGGCTCACTCACTTTGTCAGCAACAGCTGGTGTGAGTGACAGGAAGAATCTATACCCAGGCTCACTCACTTTGTTAGCAACAGCTGGTGTGAGTGACAGGAAGAATCTATACCCAGGCTCACTCACTTTGTCAGCAACAGCTGGTGTGAGTGACAGGAAGAATCTATACCCAGGATCACTCACTTTGTTAGCAACAGCTGGTGTGAGTGACAGGAAGAATCTATACCCAGGCTCACTCACTTTGTCAGCAACAGCTGGTGTGAGTGACAGGAAGAATCTATACCCAGGCTCACTCACTTTGTCAGCAACAGCTGTTGTCAGTGACAGGAAGAATCTATACCCAGGCTCACTCACTTTGTTAGCAACAGCTGGTGTGAGTGACAGGAAGAATCTATACCCAGGCTCACTCACTTTGTTAGCAACAGCTGGTGTGAGTGACAGGAAGAATCTATACCCAGGCTCACTCACTTTGTCAGCAACAGCTGGTGAGAGTGACAGGAAGAATCTATACCCAGGCTCACTCACTTTGTCAGCAACAGCTGGTGTGAGTGACAGGAAGAATCTATACCCAGGATCACTCACTTTGTTAGCAACAGCTGGTGTGAGTGACAGGAAGAATCTATACCCAGGCTCACTCACTTTGTCAGCAACAGCTGGTGTGAGTGACAGGAAGAATCTATACCCAGGATCACTCACTTTGTTAGCAACAGCTGGTGTGAGTGACAGGAAGAATCTATACCCAGGCTCACTCACTTTGTTAGCAACAGCTGGTGTGAGTGACAGGAAGAATCTATACCCAGGCTCACTCACTTTGTTAGCAACAGCTGGTGTGAGTGACAGGAAGAATCTATACCCAGGCTCACTCACTTTGTCAGCAACAGCTGGTGTGAGTGACAGGAAGAATCTATACCCAGGATCACTCACTTTGTTAGCAACAGCTGGTGTGAGTGACAGGAAGAATCTATACCCAGGCTCACTCACTTTGTCAGCAACAGCTGGTGTGAGTGACAGGAAGAATCTATACCCAGGATCACTCACTTTGTTAGCAACAGCTGGTGTGAGTGACAGGAAGAATCTATACCCAGGCTCACTCACTTTGTTAGCAACAGCTGGTGTGAATGACAGGAAGAATCTATACCCAAGCTCACTCACTTTGTTAGCAACAGCTGTTGTGAGTGACAGGAAGAATCTATACCCAGGCTCACTCACTTTGTTAGCAACAGCTGGTGTGAGTGACAGGAAGAATCTATACCCAGGCTCACTCACTTTGTTAGCAACAGCTGTTGTGAGTGACAGGAAGAATTTATACCCAGGCTCACTCACTTTGTTAGCAACAGCTGGTGTGAGTGACAGGAAGAATCTATACCCAGGATCACTCACTTTGTACACAGGGTTCAGACTAATGCTCTTTCCAGAAAAACAGGGTTCAGACATATGCGCTTTTCAGACCCACACAGGGTTCAGACTAATGCTCTTTTCAGACAACCAGCGTTCAGACTAACGCTCTTTTCAGACAACCAGAGTTCAGACTGATGCTCTTTTCAGACAACCAGGGTTCAGACTGATGCTCTTTTCAGACAACCAGGGTTCATACTGATGCTCTTTTCAGACAACCAGGGTTCAGACTGATGCTCTTTTTTAAAATGTGGTTTAGATAGACGCTCAACACAGTTTTGTTTGTTGGAAAGTAAGAAATGTAACTAACATCTTAGCCACTGAATCTACTAACACCACATTGTATGATTTCATGATAAATCTTTATAATAGACACATTGGTTTGGACCTTAACCAGTGTAAGATATCCTGAATTTCCTTCTGAAACCAGAGAATGGCCCAGCTCCAGAGTTCGTGATGGAGGTTACCGACAAGACCAGGGCTGATGTCAAGGTAGACAACTCTTGATTGTCAGTCTCACAGCAACCAGACACCCTTCAAACAAAATTGGTCTTGATGCAATCCTCATCGACGCTGTCATCTATCCAGTGTGTTATATCTCCATGCTATTATGACAGATACACAAGACCCATTTGTCACTTAATTTGGACCTTTCAAATGTCACAGGGGGCACGGGTGGCCCAGTCGTCTAAGGCGCTGCGATTCGCTGTGCAGAGTTGTGTCCCTGGGGCACGCCAGAAACCAATGATTGTGGGTTCGAATCCCGGTTCGCCCCAATTATGTTTCTAGGTTTGTCAGCACCATACCCGTGCTCGTGGGTTTCACCGAAGTGGTAAACGTCTGAGACCTGCATCACTTCGGGCTTTTCTCCCACATTAAGTTGACACGCCGCGATATAACTGTAATACTGTTAAAAGCGGCATTAAACCTAACTCACTCACTCACTCAAATGTCACAATGCTCAAAATACAAAATGCATCTTCCCTAGGCCATGGAGTTAACTAACTATAGAAGTCCAGTTTCCACCATAGCATAACTAGGCTGGAATTATAGAGTTATATTTTAACTGGACTAACGAGTCTATGCATAGTCCAATGATGATGATGTTGGAGGGTTAAGGAGCGCTTCCTGATAGTCCAATCAAAATCGCGTCACGAAATCAACGTCCGGTTCGTAAACAGCCGTGCAGATATTGGTCAATTTCAATACAGATCTTGATTATCGATCAGATCATCTTCACTGGGCCACACCATTTTATTTGAAGCAAATGCAAGTGACATGAGCTGTAAAATCTGGTTGGTCAATAGGAGGGACATAGAAGGGACATAACTCCTAATAGCAACAGGTGGTACTACGATGAACCCAGAAATTCCAGCCTAGTTCGGCAAGGGTGGAAACTGGACTTTTATAGTCAGTTAACTCCCTTGCCTCAGGAAGATGAGTCAAATTATTTACATTAACTAGACAAATTCTGCGACGTAGTGACATGACATCACTTCCCAAAGAAAGTTATGGTTTCGAATGGGTCCAGGGAATTTATCAAAACAGAAGGTCGATATAATACACTGGATGATCAAGCATGCCTTATCAAGTAAAGTAGGATTTCTACAGTAAAGCCGGGGCTCGGGTGGCCCAGTCGTCTAAGGCGCCGCGATTCGCTGTGCAGAGTTGCGTCCCTGCCAGAAACCTATGATTGTTGGTTCGAATCCCGGTTCGCCCTGATTATGTTTCTAGGTTTGTCAGCACCATACCCGTGCTCGTGGGTTTCACCGAAGTGGTAAACGTCTGAGACCTGCATCACTTTGGGCTTTCCTCCCACATTAAGCTGACACGCCGTGATATGACTGGAATAATGTTAAAAGCGGCATTAAACCCAACTCACTCACTCACTCACTCACTCTACAGTAAAGCATTTTATTACTTTGATTAAAAAACTTTTTAATAAAAAATAAGAAGAGAATGGAAATTGCAAAAATATATTTATCAAAGTGATTTCTCATTTGTATGGTCAGCATAGGGTGATGAAAGCTAGTGTGGAAGAAATGTTGTTGTTTGTAAGATGAGTCAAAACAGTTTCCCCCTTTCGATAGTAATCTACTTTTGAAGTGTTTCTGTTACTGACTTGGGGGACCCGTGAAGATCCGGGGTGGAATAGGTTTTCAGCAACTCACGCTTGCCGTAAAAGGTGACTATGCTTGTTGTAAAAGGCGACTAACGGGATCGGGTGGTCAGGCTCGCTGACTTGGTTGATGCATGTCATCGTTTCCCAATTGCGTGGATCGATGCTCATGATATTAATCACTGGATTGTCTGGTCCAGACTCGATTATTTACTGACTGCCGTCATATAGTTGGAATATTGCTGAGTGCGGCGTTGAACAACAAACAAACAAACAAACAAACAAACAAACAACCTTCTCTTACTCTTACACTTGACACTTCAGGGCGGGACGCTGGTGGAATATGAGGGCAAGACACGGTTGCTGGAAATTGCCCAAGTCCCTAAAGAACATGTAAGTAATGTCAGTTCCAGGTGTAAGGGAGGCGGTCAGGTAGCCTTGTGGTTAAAGCATTCGCTTGTCCTTTCTGAAGACCCGGGTTCGATTCCCAACATTGGTACAATGTGTGAAGCCCATTTCTGGTGTCCCCCACCGTGATATTGCTGGAATACTGCTAAAAGCAGCATAAAACCATAATCACTCACTCTAGGTGTAAGGTACCGACCATTTTATATCATCGGGGGGTGGGGGATGTGGGGGTGGGATATTATTAAAAAAATAATTTGACCTTGAAAATGCTTGAAAAAAATATTTATGTACTTCTCTATCAGGTGTACTCTGCAACGGTGAATATTTATGATGTGTAAGAATTCACTCAATAGTTGATCTTCTTTTAGGCTTAAAAAATTAAAAGAATTGGTTTTCAGGCTTTTGAAAATATAGTGCAGATGGTCGGTGGTGTTTTGGTTTTTTTGGGGTTGGGGGGTGCTTGTTCAAACTAGTATGTAACCAAATAAAAAATAAACAGTTGTGTACAATCAACCTGGGAAAGGGCCTCCCTACATAAATGTATTCCTTAATGAGTAAAATACTGGAATACAGTATTGGACTACCGTTGGACTTGGAATATTTAAATTTTTTATGGCTTTTTAATGGAAATCAAAACAAAACGTGCAGCGAACTTTATGATGATGCAGATGGTGCCTGAGAACCAAGACTTTTAATTTTTTTTTTTAGCCTTAAGGTCGCTTTAAATTTGTTGATTGCAACATTAATTACACCGAATGTGTTACAATAACTGATGAAATATCAATGATTGATCAGTGACTACATATGATTGTATTTTGTTTCACATGTTTTGCAAACCAGGTTTGTGATGGTTATCTATTCCTGAGGCAGCTTTATTTCACCTGTTGCAGCTTGTTACCATTAGGAACCGCCTCCGTGGTCTAGTGGTAGAGCGTCCACCCGGAGAGCGGAAGGTCTGGGGTTCGATCCCCGGCCGCGTCATACCAAAAGACGATAAAAGATGGTACTTGTTGTTACCCTGTCTGGCGCTCGGCATTAAGGGGCTAAAACAAGGACTGGTCGGCTTGGAGTCAGTATACTGTGTCTGAGAGGGATATTCATGTTAAACTGCGGCATGGTATCTCAGTGAGCTAGCACTATAAATCGGCATCAGTCCGGACTAGTACAAGCAGCCACACAAACACACACACGTACATGCACGTCGCTATATAAGCGCAATAATCTTGGACGTGACGTTAAACCCCATTTCACCTCACCTGTTACCATTAGGCTTATAGTGTATGTTGCACAATATTTGGCCTCTGTATAAACATCAAAGACTTTATTATACATGTAGCTAAAATGGATAGAATTGTCATTAAACCGCCTGCATGTTATCAGGATTGAGGGGGCCACTGTAACTTGATAATGCCCTCATATCCATTATATCCTCATAGGCCATTTTCACGCGGGTTGTTAGGTGACGTCATGGGGATAGGGAAAGGTGACATCACATTCAATAGTGACGTCATCTGGTTTGTTCTATGACGTTTCCATATTTGTAAAAGTGGGTCAGTGACATTCGTGTTGATTGCAGTAAATGTTTCAGAACCGATATTGTTGTTTCTTTTTATTTTATAACAAATTCTATCCATTTTAGCTATGATAACGGTAACGCTATTTTTCAGGGCATTATCATTTTCAGAAGCCCTTCGTCGGGCAGTTAATAGAAGACCTCAGGCTTTGGCAAATGAAAATGCCCTGAAAAATAACGTTAGCCATATATTAACAAACAACTTCCTTATTCCACAGGTTGATGAATTCAAGAGTGTAAGCAAATTCAAGTAAGTAAACTAAACATGAGAAAAATGTCTTCAAATCAGAGTTCCATATACAATCAGGGTTAATGTGAAATTTCACTTGTAACCACAACATGGTCAGTTTTTTATATTTCTAGGTGATAATATGACGTCGTTTTTTTATATTTCTAAGTAATAAAAGTGATATCTGACACATAGACTACTTGGTAAGATGGAGTTTCGGAGTTATCTGACCTTGTTGACTGTGGCGACATATCCACAAACATTGGTTAGTCATCCCTGGGTGCCATGTACAAAACAACCTTAGCATTAAGACTGTCCTAAGCCTATGTTAAAGTATGGGAGTTACGATCACCTTGGTGCTGAGATTCCTTTGTACAACGGGACCCTGGACTCAAACAATATCTGCTTCTACTTTCTAATCCATCCAAAATGAAATGGGCAAATGTAGAAAGTTAAATTGTATCTATTTAATTTTTATTCTTGGCTTTTGTTTCCAATCAGTCCTTCCATATATCACTGTATGAAGTCTCCCTCACAATCACAATAGAACACATTCGTGACCAACTCGTGTTATTCCGGGACAAGCCGAATAGCGACTCGTGCCCCTCTCGTGGCCATTTTTGCGACCGGGTTCCGTCTCAGCGCAAAGGGGCATACCTAAAACAATTGTCAACTCGTCCATTAAGACTGTCCTAAGCCTATGTTAAAGTATGGGAGTTACGATCACCTTGGTGCTGAGATTCCTTTGTACAACGGGACCCTGGACTCAAACAATATCTGCTTCTACTTTCTAATCCATCCAAAATGAAATGGGCAAATGTAGAAAGTTAAATTGTATCTATTTAATTTTTATTCTTGGCTTTTGTTTCCAATCAGTCCTTCCATATATCACTGTATGAAGTCTCCCTCACAATCACAATAGAACACATTCGTGACCAACTCGTGTTATTCCGGGACAAGCCGAATAGCGACTCGTGCCCCTCTCGTGGCCATTTTTGCGACCGGGTTCCGTCTCAGCGCAAAGGGGCATACCTAAAACAATTGTCAACTCGTCGCATTATGGTTCACATATATTTCCCCATATATTATATATATTTCAGATGCAATTTAAAGCACATCGGGACATGTGGAATTATACAGTATGATAGAACACATTTAACTGTGTCTTGGGTATATTTTTAGATGCAAGACAAATGTGAAATCAAAAATAATTTCTGAGGGATTCTTTGACGAAGAACTTGAAATCATACGTGTATTCTGATTGGTTTGGTGTATTTTCGCACATAACATTCATCGATAGAGGGACGAGTCTTCTTGCAGGTAACAGAAAGGGGCGAGTGGTGACGAATGAATATAACGGTGTCCCACTTTTCCTTCCAGGATTTTCAATACAAACAACTTATGGATGAATCTAGACGCTATCAAGAGGATAATAGAAGAGAAAACACTGCACATGGAGATCATTGTCAACCCGAAGGTAGAGGAGATTACCTTGTATTTCATTCCACATTGCATCTGTATTAAAGTGATAAACGTCATAGACCTGCATCACTTCAGGCTTTTCTCCCTCATCAAGCTTGCATGCCATGACAAACTGAAAAAATGTTCACAATGGTGTTAATACTCACTCACTCACTCACTCACTCACTCACTCACTCACTCTGGGGCACGGGTGGCCCAGTCGTCTAAGGCGCCGCAATTCGCTATGCAGAGTTGCGTCCCTTGGACACGCCAGAAACCTATGATTGTGGGTTCGAATCCCAGTTCGCCTCGATTATGTTTCTAGGTTTGTCAGCACCATACCCGTGCTCGTGGGTTTCACCGAAGTGGTAAACGTCTGAGACCTGCATCACTTCGGGCTTTCCTCCCACATTAAGCCGACACGCCGTGATATAACTGGAATACTGTTAAAAGCAGCGTTAATCCCAACTAATTCACTCACTCACTCACTCACTCACTCACTCACTCACTCACTCACTTGAATATGTTTCTGAAGTTTAGGGGCACAGGCGACACAGTCGTCTAAGGCACTGATTTCACTATGCAGAGTTGAATTCGGGTTTATCCTGATTATGTTTCTAGGTCCGTCACCACCATAATGTGCTTGTGGGTTTCACCAAAGTGGTAAATGTCTAAGATCGTCATCACTTCGGGCTTTCCTCCCACATCAAACTGGCGCACCGTGTTATAACTGGAATACTGTTCAAAGCTGTGTTAAACCCAACTCACTGACTCACCTAAACTCATGATGTACTTTTAGACCAGGGCTATCTTAGTGCAATGACTATTGTAAGCCTATGTTAAAGAATGGGAGTTACGATCATCTTAGCTCTAGGATCACTTTGGGCAAGTTGGCCCAGAATGTATATCATTTTATGCAAATTATCAACCAGCATGTATAATTTTGTATATAACTCAGCATAACACGATATACGGCTTTTCCATTGGACGAGAGGTCGGTCACATGACCCCGAAAGTGTATGAACGACACAATTTGACGTTCATACATTTTTCACGAGACCATGTTCTTGAAATTACGAAAACACTAACAGACTTCCACATTCCTGGGGAAACCCCTTAGCACGAAAACATACAGAAACATATAGAACCTTTAACCTTGAACTCAGCGTTTCAGTATACATTGAGAAACGTCAGAGTGTTTGACTGCATGACTGTTCACGAATATCCTCACTACGGCCCATTCTAATGAACAAAACAAAGAAATGCACATCCAAACTAGACCGCCTCCGTGGTCTTGTGGTAGAGCGTCCGCCCGGAGAGTGGAAGGTCCAGGGTTCGATCCCGGGCCGCGTCATACAAAAAGACGTTAAAAGATTGTACTTGTTGTTACCCTGTCTGGCGCTCGGCATTAAGGGGCTAAAACAAGGACTGGTCGGCTCGGAGTCAGTATACTGTGTCTGAGTGGGTATTCATGTTAAACTGCGGCATGGTATCTCAGTGAGCTAGCACTATAAATCGGCATCAGTCCGGACTAGTACAAGCAGCCACACACACACATACACGTGCATGCACGTCGCTATATAAGTGCAATAATCTTGGACGCGACGTTAAACCCAATTTCACCTCACCTCACCCACATCCAAACTATCGTAGTATGGACTCGATCCGTGTCTGGGCTGACAGTGACCGTTTACTGCAGTCTATGAATTTACCTTAGAGTCAGTTTGACACATCTTTAATCACCTTTCGATGATCGACCAGTTGATCAGTGCTGACTACCACATTTATATAAACCGCCACGGGTTCATTAACAACTTCGGAAATCTCGCAAGCTCTGCAATCATACAGTTTGGCCCTCACTTTGTAAATGTTTATACTCCAATGAACTCACACAAAGTAAGACTACTGGGAGACTTAACCAGGATTTGAAGTAATTAAGCCAGGGTGTATTTACCTGTGTACATCTAGATGAGTTTACCTTTGATAGTCGGGGGCACGGGTGGCCCAGTCGTCTAAGGCGCGCGATTCGCTGTGCAGAGTTGCGTCCCTTGGGCACGCCAGAAACCTATGATTGTGGGTTCAAATCCCGGTTCGACCCGATTAGGTTTCTAGGTTTGTCAGCACCATACCCGTGCTCGTGGGTTTCACCGAAGTGGTAAACATCGAAGACCTGCATCACTTCAGGCTTTCCTCCCACATTAAGCTGACACGCCGCGATATAACTGGAATACTGTTAAAAGCAGCATTAAACCCAACTCGCTCTCTCACTTTGATACTAGTCTGTATGGGAAGAAATTCCCCATGTTACAAAATGAATGAGGATTTTAAACCACACAAATATTGAGATTTCCATTTGTGTATTTTGGTGAATTTTCTAAAGACAAAGTATTGTCATCTTTCACGCTCCAGGTTTTTTTGACACCTTCATCTACGTATTCATGCCATTTACATAACATATATAAATAGACCCATGAAGATCTGGTAGAGAATAGGTCTTTAGCAACCCATGCTTGTCGTAAAAGGTGACTATGCTTGTCGTAAAAGGCGACTAGCGGGATCGGGTGGTCAGGCTCGCTGACTTGGTTGATGCATGTCATCGTATCCCTATTGCGTGGATCGATGCTCATATTGTCAATCACTGGATTGTCTGGTCCAGACTCGATTGTTTACGGACCGCCGACATGTAGCTGGAATATTGCATTGGGGCGTTAAGCAACAAAGAAACATGTCTGAAAGTTATTCCTGGTGTTGAACTGTTTGTGTTCCTGCTTGGTAGAACTGAGTCCCCAGTGTCCCGAGTTTGTCAAGCAATGGAGGAGGTGGTCATTTTTAGTGACTTGACAGATCTCATGTCAACATGTCCCGATGGCGTTTCCCTTTGATTGTCCTTACTGGTTTGCCTGATACAATTAGATACAATTAGGAGATAAACATACTGTGTTTTCAATGTAGAACTAGGTTACCTGTAGATTTAACCCCGCTAAATTGAATTTGGAACGCGCAGCGTGAAGTTTCAAATGTTAAATTTAGCGCGGTTCCCTTTGTTGATTTCTGTCGTGTTTTTCTGCACGAAATGTATTGCCACACATACTTTGAATATTGTAGTTACCGCATCGGTGCATTTTGTAACCTGTAATTGTAGATATGATTATTTAAATATGCCTAACAACTATGACTGAAAATAGTACTATTCTATGAATATTAGCTTCCGCGGTGAAGCGGACGTCAAACCAGCTGTTTCAATCAGAGGGGGTTTATTGTGATTTAATAGCCTCTGATTGACCAATCAGAATCGAGTAAATTCCAAATTCATGGTAGAATTTATAGATAACAACTTCTTTATTTACTGTAAAGGCAACGTTACGGTATAGATCCTCATACTGTTGTCAAGCAAGGTCTCTACAGTAAATAAAGAAGTTGTTATCCATAAATTGTATCTTCGTTGTCACCAATCAACTTCAAAAATTTATTTAGAGGTTGCCTTGATATTCTTGGAAAATCAATCTCATTATAATCAGATCTTAGTTCTCGCTACCGCTAAACAAAGATCTGAGGACATCCCATTAGGGGTCACGTCAGAATAACCTTTCATCCGACCAATCAGAGCGTCCCTTACCAGATCATGAAAGTGACAGTCGGAATGTGATTTCTAATCATGCAACCTCAAAAACTTTAAAACGGGGTATTCCGAACGATAGTTACGGGCTTAACGACTGAATCTATACAATCTACACCATATATTAGCCATTCGAGAATGTCCTTTTGTTCAGGTTTCAAATTTTTAAGCGAGAATACGTCAAAATATGTTTCGAAGCGTAGTCGCCAATTTGAAATTAGTGCCGTGAAGCACGAGAAAGCTGCTTTCTGATTGGCTAATGTCAACTTCTTGTCAGTAATTCCATTGGTCGGTCAGAGTTAGCGAAAGGTCGGTCTGACGTGACCCGTTCTGTGTTGTCCTCAGATCTTTGTTTAGCGGCAGCGAGAGATCTGATTTTAATGAGATTGTTGGAACATTGACTGCAGTTCGCAGAATTCACTGCTATTGGTGCCTCCAGTACCACTATGTATGTACATGTATCTGGAAGGTGTGTCTGTGTGTGTGTGTCAAGTAACTGACTCTGCTTCTAACCCAGACCCTGGACAATGGCACCAATGTTATACAGCTGGAGACAGCAGTGGGGGCTGCCATCAAGAGCTTTGAAGGAGCAATAGGTAACCATAGAAACTGCCTCTTGTCAACTTATGTTTTCATATTACAGAGCTACAGATAAGCACCGTATTTGCGTAAAATACCCCCCCAAAATATTCAAAACCTAATTACTTTCAATTAACATGCGTACAGAAACGCATGCATTAAATGAAAAACTCAAATATATAAAATAAGCACGCGTAAATACCCAATGAAGCGTTTTCAGCATGAGTGCAATGGAGCGATTTTCCGAAACACAATTACGAGCTAATTTAGTTTCTGAGTCAAACCTTTATATTTAGAACAGTTATATACATCTAAAACATTATTTCATTTTTTTTTAAATCTTAAAATGGTCCCTTATTTTGGGGAAAAACGAATAGAGTGATGATTAGATGAGTGAAAAAATACCAGTTATCCAATGTAAAATGTAATAACCCAATTAAAATAGAAACCCTAGAGTAAAAATGCAATTGCTGAAAAACTTATCTTGAGCTCTGCATATTATTTAGTCTTTGTGGGGACACAGATGACCCAGTCTTCAGAGGCACAATTCACTGTACAGAGTTGTGTCCCTTGGGCATGCCAGGATCCTGCTTCACCCTGATTGGGTGCTCATGGGTTACATCAAAGTGGTAAACGTGTGAGATAAACATTGAACCAAGAATTATTTATTTACAATCTGATGTTTGCTTCGGTCACTGGTTGAATCTGTAAAAGTCTGTAAAAGTTTCACATTGGTTATGTATTAATATGTTTTCCCTCTTGTCCCTGTATTTCATGTATGATTAAATGTATCAAGGTATTAACGTCCCGAGGAGTCGGTTCCTCCCCGTGAAGACGACTTCGGACTTGCTGATAGTGATGAGCAACTTGTACCACATGAAGACAGGAGCGCTGGAGATGAGCCCGAAACGTTGCTTCCCAACTGTGCCCCTGGTCAAACTGGGAACAAACTTCACAAAGGTGGGCCCTTAGGACAATCTACAAACATCATTGACACTTAAATCTTGGACGCGTGAAGATCCGGGGTAGAATAGGTCTTCAGCAACCCATGCATGCCGTAAAAGGCGACTATGCTTGTCGTTAAAGGCGACTAACGGGTTCGGGTGGTCAGGCTCGCTGACTTGGTTGATGCACGTCATCAATCCCAATTGCTTGGATTGATGCTTATGATATTAATCACTGGATTGTCTGGTCCAGACGCGATTATTTACAGACCGCCGTCATATAGCTGGAATATTGCTGAGTGCGGCATTACACTCTCCTACCCAGAGTTCCATGCGGCCGGCAGCCAGCCAGCATAGTACCTCTGCCACAGGCCAGCGCCATGTGACGATTCGTCACATCTTTCACAGTCCATTCAAGATATTGCATATGCTTTTCATCCGTTTCATGTTTGACAAGTCTACACATTTTCATAAACAAATGTCAAAGAATGGTTAACTTTCATTGAGAAAGTATGCAAATACGTAAAAATCTACTTGTTTTTGCGTAGTTATCCTATGTTTACATTGGTTGTACGGCTCCACGTGCTGTCATCGAAGCGCAATGGAGAGCTAGCGACACGGTCACTTTGATGCATAAATATATATTGTCATGCAACTCACTGTCGCAGTTGTAGTAGCATATATATATAGTTATGCAAAACAATATGTAAAGCGCCCCCAAATACTTGCATTAGTCCGTTCTATACTGATTTCTGAAAAAGCGCGTTTGTTTACAAACGAGAAAAGTCCGGTCACGTGATATGCAAATTAGCCTGTGGCAGTGGTGTTATGCTGAGTCACCACTGCGACGGAGTGTGTGCGGCATTAAACAACAAACCAACCAACCAACAAACCAACCAACCTTAAATCTTGTCCTTATTTTTAGACTCTCCATGTGAAACCAAGTTTGCTAAAACAATCTCATTTCAATTATATCTTTTACTCTGATACAATGCCTCTCTGCATGAAGACCAGGCAACCCCTCCATTGGAGGTTGCGGCAGGTGAACTTCATCATCATCCTCGGGGGATTCTGGGTTAGGATAGGTCCCTAGCAACCTAGGCTGGTCGATAGAGGCGACTAAGTGGATCGGGTGGTCAGGCTTGGTGACTTGGTCGATTGTGTGTCATGGATCATTGGTTAAAATATTGATCACTGGATTATCTGGTTGGGACCTGATTATTTTCAGGCTGCCGTCATATAGCTGGAATATTATGGAGTGTGGTGTTGACCAAATTTGCAATAATTTTTTCACCAGTGTGGATTTTCCTGTGGATAATATTTCTTTTTGATATCTTTTTAGATATTATAATTTTGATCTTTTTGTGTTTGTGTTTTTATCCCAGGTTAAGGAATTCTTGTCCAGATTTTCCAGCATCCCCGACATCATGGAGCTGGACCACCTCACAGTGTCGGGTGACGTCACCTTCGGCAAGAATGTCAGCCTTAAGGTAGGTACTAGCTCACTGAAGACCCGTGAAGATCCAGGGTAGAATAGGTCTTCAGCAACCCATGCTTGCCATCACAGGCGACTAGGCTTGTCGTAAGAGGCGACTAATGGGATCGGGTTGTCAGGCTCACTGACTTGGTTGATGCATGTCATCAAACCAAATTGCGTGGAAGGATGCTCATGATGTCAATCACTGGATTGACTGATCCAGACTCTATTGTTTACAGACCGCCGTCATATAGCTGGAATATGGCCGAGTGTGGCGTTAAACAAAAAACCAACCAACCCAATAGCGTGGATCGATGTTCATGATGTCAATCACTGGATTGTCTGGTCCAGACTCGATTATTTACAGTTCGCCGTCATATAGCTAGAATATGGCTGAGTGTGGCGTTAAACAACAAACAAACAAACAAACCCTGTTAATCGAGAAATTGCCTTAAAGATGTCACTTTTCACCAATAGTCTCCAACTTTAGCCACTAGTCTGAGTCTGGTAAAATTTTGTTTTGTCTTGAAAAGTCAGCTAACAACAATATGTAACACTAAAGTCAAAATTGGGTGGTTGGGTAGCCTAGTGGTTAAAGCGATATCCCACTGCCGAGGACCCGGGTTCGATTCCCGACATGGGTACAATGTGTGAAGCCGTGATATTGCTGGAATATTGCTAAAAGTGGCGTAAAACCTCACTCACTCACTCACTCACTAAAGTCAAATGAAAATGGTGTTAAACGCCATGTTCGGACAAGTTGACTTAAGTCTTTGGCACTGACTGCACCAGTGTATCGATGCAACACAAATTTACACCTGATATGTCTATGCATGTATGTACATGTATTCATGTTTATATTTGTATTGATTTTCCCGAAAGTAATAGACCGCCTCCATGGTCTAGTGGCAGAGCGTCCGCCCAGAGAGCGGAAGGTCCGGGGTTCGATCCCAAGCCGCGTCATACCAAAAGACGTTAAAAGATGGTACTTGTTGTTACCCTGTCTGGCGCTCGGCATTAAGGGGCTAAAACAAGGACTGGTCGGCTCGGAGTCTGTATACTGTGTCTGAGTTGGGTATTCATGTTAAACTGCGGCATGGTATCTCAGTGTGCTAGTACTATAAATCGACATCAGTCTGGACTAGTACAAGCAGCCACACACACACACACACACACACACACATGCACGTCGCTAAAAAAGTGCAATAATCTTGGGCGCGACATTAAACCCCACTCACCTCACCTCAAAAAGTAATATTTACTATGTTTTGAAATGACATGTCCTGATTACCTAACCATGAAACCCAAGAGGCGCCTGACAGGGTCAGGTGGTCAGACTCCCTGACTTGGTTGATGCAGGTCATCGTATCCCAATTGCGTGGATCGATGCTTATGATGTCAATCACTGGATTATTTGGACCAGACTTGATTATTTACAGACCACCGTCATATACCTTGAATAAAACCATGAAACAAAATGCTAAATCTGATAGCACAAAACTATCAGAACTTCAATTAACCATTCTGATAGCACAAAACTATCCGAACTTCAATTAACCATTCTGACAGCACAAAACTATCCGAACTTCAATTAACCATTCTGATAGCACAAAACTATCCGAACTTCAATTAACCATTCTGATAGCACAAAACTATCAGAACTTCAATTATCCATTCTGATAGCACAAAACTATCAGAACTTCAATTAACCATTCATACAAGATAAACTGGTGGATGATTTGCTTCTCGGATGAGGGTGGGCAACTATCTCTTCAAGTTATCTCCCCTCTTGCTACCAGTATGTTGTGAATAATATTACGATGTTCCTAAATATGTTGTATTTTATTTTTATTAACAGGGTACTGTCATCATCATAGCGAACCATGGCGAGAGGATAGATATCCCAAGTGGGGCCATCTTGGAAAACAAGATTGTATCGGGCAACCTCCGCATCCTCGACCATTAAGACGAAGAATTACAACTATTGTCTGTTAGCGGCACTGTCACGCTATACACGCTATAACACGTACACTCTCAACAGATAAGATACACCGCGTTATGTAAGCATGGTTCTTGGACAAATTATGAGAATGGGTTTGATAACTGTAATAATGTTAATCACTTTTCACAAGTGAGTTGATTTAAGGGGTCAACATTTGGTGAGATGGTTGTTAGCATGGGGTTTGTGGTGTGGTTGTTTTTGGAAAGAATGTTTTTGAAAAAAAGACAGTATATTGGTATAATTAATCAGCAGAACTCGGAATATGCTACAGACAGAATTTCTCCGAGGTGCCAAACATATAAGCTTATATTCCCTCTCACAAATAGGACGTAAAAATTCGTATCAGAAGTGTATTTATTATATATATTTTTGAGAACACTATGTGATGATGGCTGCATACAGCTCTACTTTTAAAATCCGGACAATCTGGACTTAAATCCATTTTTTTCAAGGAAAAACCAAACATTATTGATCACTCTGATTAACATCATTCATGTTTTAATTGACCCATACAACGATGTGAAACATTTTTGTTTTTCATGGCCTAATGAGCAGAAATGTATCGACAGTTCTCCAGGTCACAGGTCTGGATCTATTTATATCCTTATATCCACAGTATTCAGCAGTACAAGTCATGTTCTGATGTTATACCACCCAAGTTTGCAATGTAAATATACCTATGTACATTTAAGTCATTACAACAAAGTTGTTGTTTAACGCCGTACTCAGCAATATTCCGGCTATATGACGGCAACAACAAAGTAGTTCATTTTTGGTAATTTGTAGATAAGAAATAATATGAACAAATATGATGGACTCACACAAGGGGTTGTTTGGTAGATTGTTTGGTAGGTTGTTTGAGATGATGATCTCCTGACATTGGTCTAAAAGAAAAAGAAAAACTTGCGTTTATCGATTTTTTATGTTGGTGTGACCCTGTAACAGACAACATATCTGCATTATTTTACACAGATTTTATTTGTTGATTTCTTTAAACTGTGTTCCGTTTTGCAGTGTGTTCATGACGAATGTCTCGTATACAGATATTATATTCCCGGTTGTACAGGTGCTGATATTTACCGATTATTCTCTTTACATATACAATTCCACTTTTCCTGAAGCATCTGGAGTTTTATATCGCAATTTCCCCTATCTCCTTATTAGGGCTGGGACGAGTAACTCGGGTACCCTGGTCGGGTGGGTCCTGACCCACAGGACTACGCGGACCCGTGGTTAGTCATGTGATATATTCTTTAATGACAAAAATTATCTAGAACTCTATGGTTACACTACAAGTCACTAATGTTCCCATTTCTTTCTGACAATGCACCCATTCCTTCTGACTTTTATATATTTGAATAAAGATGAAACTTCAGTGTATGCATGAACAGATCGTTTTATACGTGTATCGATATACGTTTTGCCAGGGCTAAGATCAAAGTTTTCCATTTCGGACAGTTTGTACCTTTCTCCATTTATCTACAGCGGGTACCCAGGTAGGGTTGGGTAATAAGGTGATGGGTACCCGGTAGTAAATTTGGACTCGTCCCAGCCCTACTCCTCATCATATCCTACTCATGCTTTTTCTGAATATTCGGGGGCACTGGTGGCCCAATCGTCTAAGGCGCCACAATTCGCTGTGCAGAGTTGCGTCCTTTGGGCACGCCAGAAACCTATGATTGTGGGTTCAAATCCCGGTTAGCCCCGATAATGTTTCTGGGTTTGTCAGCACCATACCCGTGCTCATGGGTTTCACCGAAGTGGTAAATGTCGGAGACCTTCATCACTTCAGGCTTTCCTCCCACATTAAGCTGACATGCCGTGATATGACTGGAATACTGTTAAAAGCGGCGTTAAACCAAACTCACTCACTCTGAATATTCATTCATTTGTTGATGAAATATGTTCTACAGCTGTTTCGAGATGGAAATCAATTTCATCAGTTTAAAATGTGACCCAGTTCCTTCACTTCTTGAATGTATCTGTATTTCCTTGAACTAATGTACAATACAATAACATATTCGATGTAATAAGCACCCCGCTCTAATAAGCGGCACTCGCGATATTTGCTAATACATATTGGCTTATGAGTGAACAATCCCAATTAGCACCCCTTCCGATTGATCATTGTACACAAGACTTATTTATTTGTGTATAATACGCACTCGTGTGTTATATGCACCCTTAATTACAGGCAGTTAAATTCTGGAAAAATATCTCTCGTGTATAATACACACAGACTTTTCTTTTGTATCATTCCAGGCTGTCAGCATAAACCACGAAATTTACAAACTTTCAACTGTTTTTTTTTTTCTCTCACCAAAATTATATACTATAAAGAGACCCCTATTTCTAATTTTGAGAGCACCCTGGGCGCTTATTACATCGAATATGGTACCTACCGATACCATGTATATTTATTATTCACCTCTGTTCCCTGGGACTTCAATTACCATATTTCCTCTATTAGACGTCTGAGCATCTGTTAATTTCACGCAAGCTGTAGACCTGGTGTCTATTTAAAGCTGGTACAGTGGTCCAGATGGACCTGGAAGCTAATAGAGCCTCATCATCTGTATCTGGAACAGAGCTCATGCCCCAGCATCAATTTGAGTCCAGGCATCTGAATGAGTCAGCGAGTATGGTTTTGCGCCATTTTTAGCAATATCACAGCAGAGGACACCAAAAATGGATTTCACACTTACCCATGTAAGGAATCAAACCCGGGCTTCGGTATGACAAGCGGTGTGACTTGGCTACCCAATCTCTCTGCATCTTATAGAGGAAATATGGTATTCTGACATACCGAGGATACAGAGTTGCAGTTTAGGTATCTGTTTACACAGATGTCATTATGTGCATACCTATTATATACCGGGTTGTATACCTACATTTCTTTAGGAAAAAACAATCTTTGCAACAATATATACAATTGTCCCCTGTTAACTCATGTAAATTAAGTTGACATTCATTTTCTATTTCTGTGATACCAGTTTGCTAAAGTTTATGTATAGTTGAGTAACTGTGAGAGAATAGTAATTTATGCAAAATTAAATCATGCTTGTATATTCATAGTTAGTGTGGTTATGTACTTTTATAGGTGTCAAGAGAGATATTTGTCACCACAAAGTAAGTTTACTGCTGTATCAGCAGAATACTGAACTAAGCAGAGTTATCAGTCATGATATAACGGTAATGCGGTTTTTCAGGGCATTATCATTTGCCTAAGCCCGAGGTCTTCCATTAGCTGCCCGACGAAGAAAGGCAGTTGAAAAGACCGAGGGCTTCTGCAAATGATAATGCCCTGAAAAATAGCGTAACCGTTATTATAGCTAAAATGGATGGAATTTATCATCAAATAAACAATATCGGTTTTGAAACATTTACTGCGATCAAGAATGTCACTGACCCACCTTTACAAATATGGAAACGTCACCGAGCAAACCTGATGATGTCACTGTTGGAACGTGATGTCACCTATCCCTATAACGTCACCTAACAACAGGCGTGATAATGGCTCATCGTCAAGTAATATGAGGGCATTATCAAGTTACAGTGGCCCGCTCATTTCTCATAACATGCGGGCGGTTTAATGATAATTCTATCCATTATAGCTATAACAGAAGCTAGCACATGGCATATCTAGTCTGAAATGTATTAATAGTGGATATTTCATAGTTATGCCCACATATCTTTAAGTGTATCTGTCAAATTCCCTACAGTTTTGGCGGAGGCAAAGCTGAGGTGACTTCAAGTCCGAACAATTTGTAGGATATTACCAGATACACTGAGAAGTGGGGCTATAACCAATTTATACCCCAGTTAAGTTTCGGTGGAGTTATGTCAATGAATACATTTTGGACACCAACACGTTTAGACCCTTGGAGACTCATGTCTTTGTTTTCAATACTCGAGTACTGGAATCAGGGTATAAAATTGGTCATGCCGGGGTGTCATTGAAATATATACTAGTACTCGTAGCATTGAATCAATATTGGTATCACAAGCCTTGGTGATAGATATGATAAGCAGTGACACTTGTCTGTATGATTATGCCCAAGGGCATAAAACCAAACACATTTACAGAATACAAACTCCATACATTGCAGTATGTTGCTATCTTGTTTGTTCTATTTGTGTTGTGATGACTCGTGTTTGCTCGGTTTGTCATGAAGGAAAAGTTGTTGTGCTTGATATTTCTATTTATTTCACAAAAAGGATACGTCCAGAGTCAAAAGAAACAAATGAGAGTACCGTATTCGACGTAATAAGCGCCCAAGGCAATATTTGCTAATATATTGGCTAGTGAACAATCCCAATTAGCACCCCTTCAGATTGATCAATGTACACAAGACTTGTTTATTCGTGTATAATACGTGTTATGTGCATTCTTAATTATGGGAAATTAAATTCTGGAGAAATATATCTGTCGTATATAAACATTTCAGGCTGTCAGCTTAAACCATGAAATTTACGATCTTTCAGCTCCTTTTCTTTATCACCAAAATAATATTCTAATAAGAGCCCCCTATTTCTAATTTTGAGAGCGCCCTGGGCGCTTATTATGTCGAATACGGTACATGGGATGGGACTTCAAAAGCAAAATAGATTCACAGAACACCTTCATGCTTGAGCACTGTACTAATGTGTTTGTCTACTTTTTTATAGTTAAAACAGACTTTTAGCACCCTTGGAAGTAATTACGAAAGTCCCTTGTCAGAAGAAAACAATCTTTTGTCAAAAGCAACAAGATCACCAGCAAGAAAGTTTACAAATTTAATGGTTAAGATAATAGATGGAGTTTGTGTGATCCTTGTGTATTTGAATAAAGTAACGAGTATGATTCACTCATAAATTATTACATATTCCATCCGATCCATTCTTTTTTATCCTGATGAAATATACCATATACATGTAGATAGCATGTTGACAGTTACTGTACACAGATATGCCATCATCAGTTTAAAAAAGTAATGTCTCCATCTCAACTGTTTTTTCACATTTGGATGAAAAACTAATACCGTATTCGATGTAATAAGCGCCCACGGCGATATTTGCTAATATATTGGCTCGTGAACAATCCCAAATAGCACCCCTTCCGATTGAAGACTTATTTATGCACCTTTAAATATGGGCAATTAAATTCTGGAAAAATACATCTGTCGTATATAAACCACGAAATTTATTTTTCAACTGTTTTTTTCACCAAAATAGTATTTTAATAACAGCCCCCTATTTCTAATTTTGAGAGAGCCCTGGGCGCTTATTACGTCGAATACGGTAATTAAATTAGTGATGCCAACGACAGTCAAGTCTCGTTAATCCGACACTCCATAATCCGACAATTGGCTTTATCCGACACTAATGATTGGAACCGATTAAATCAGTGCTATTTAGACCCGTAAATCCGACAGTCTCTCACTCCGATTCCGACACACCTAATTGCAACGAATTACCGAAATCACTCATTAATCAGTCTCGTTAATCCTACACTGTGATCAGCATACGTCATCTGCCCGCGAGTACAAAGCCCATGTTTTGATGTAAGACGAGTCTTAAGCTTTGCGGTGCAAGTTTCAAACTTGCGACTTCCATTCCAGACTATGCTTTTAACAAACATTGATACTACTTAAGTTTGTTTATCCGACATACTCGTTAATCCGACAAAATCATATGCAACCAACCATGTCGGATTAACGGGACTTGACTGTATTTTTAAAAGTCGGCAAAAGAAACTATTAATAGATTCCACTGTGAAGCTGAAGCTATCTTGCATTTATATATGGTTAAATGTTGGATGATGATGTATATATGCTTGGATTTGGTAAGAATACACTTTGGGATACTGGTTTGTGAGGGTTTCAGATGTGATAATTCTAATTGTTACTGGCATGCATGGATGCTGTGAAATCTGTATGGGTTTGGCAATTGTATACCAAATGTAAATAGGCATTGCATTATTAGGAGGGGGCCTCTCATTATACTGGACAATACCAGTTTATTACCGGTAAAATTGGGATTAGACTGGTAATTCATGTGGCTGCCCGTCCCCGTGGACCGGCAAAGAAAGTACCTTATAAATCTTTGTTGTTGAACAAAACATCAGCGATATTCATATAAGTATATTTTTCCAATGAAGTCAGCTTGTCTGTTACCTTCATTTTTAGTGCAAGGAAATAATATTTTGCTTTGGTTTGAGGTTTAATATATATTTGAAGCGACTAAGTCTTGAAGAATAAAAAAGAAGAGAAATTAGTTCAAATATAGCAGGCAGTGAGGTGAAAACCTGGCAGCATGGAGGTCCAATACACACTTGCCAGCATGTGCTTCAAAATGCATGAGCTTTGAAGAGGTCGTGACATGACCTGTGAGCTTTGACATGACGCATGAAGGTTAAGGTCAAGGGGTAGTGGAAAGTTACCGAGAACGTGTAAACATTGTACCCATCTTAGAATTGATAAATATTACGTGGAAATTGAACTTTAGAACATTAGATTACTAATAGAGTCCTTATCATTGGACCACCATGGATAATAAGTTAAAATCAGTTGTAATAATTTTAACATGATTTCATGTCATTTCATTTCTAACAGTTCATACTTGGAAACAAGAGGAAATCTTGCCTCTACACTAAGTTCCTTCAGAGATTAGGAAGGTTCTTGTAATTTATAGTGTTGCCAGTCCACCAGGACTGTCAGTTTCAAAAGCCAGCACGAACTCTGCTGGAGTAATGTAAGATTTACAAATTGAAATTCTCCCATTTCGGACACATTTCCCAAGTCTAGGGTAATGACATACTTCCAGACAAACAATGGTTACACGTGTACATTTTGAGTGTCGGTCTTCATGATGTATTTTGTGGATGTTCTGCCATGTTTGCTGTGCACAGTTGTCTCCCTTAGACATGCCAGAAACATGACCGTTTGACCTAATCCAAGACCTGCATCAATCAGGCTTTCCTCCATGGAGCTGAAACGCCGTGATATTACTGAAATACTGTTCAAGAATGTGGAATAGTTTAAGAGGACAAAGAATCCAGCAGCTGAATCTGTTTTACACTCACAGCAGCTGTCTTTACTTATGCCCCCTCTTTCACTACGACCACGAATATCCCAAATCACCCCGATTCAGAAAACTTTCGAAATTCGCGATGATTCTGCCAATTATGCAAAGTTTCGTGGCTAATCAGGTTGAAAAATATTAATACCAGGAATGTGTTAAGAAACATGCACGAATTGTAAGGATCACCTACGACTAAGTTACGAATATGCCAATTGTTGTTCTTACTTAATTCTTACATGATTCTTAGTTGACTCGGGACATTCGTGGCAGTTTGGGATGTTTTCAGGTTGAGGACAAGAAATTTTGGGAGCCACATTCGCTAAGAATAGCCAAGAATGCAAAAGAATCGAATACAGAGCTGATACAGAACATGAGAATTAAATAGGAATGGATTACGATACAGCCAGGAAATTGCAATTCGGGGACCCTTTCACGAAAGTTTTTGACGAACAAAAACTTTCTTGCCAATTCGACGAACTCCCGCGAAATGTATGGGAATCAAATAAGATTCATTTAAGAACTTGAAGAAATGATTGAGATTTATCTACGAACATGAAAAATTCCTATTCAGGGTGATTCGGGATATTCGTGGTCGTAGTGAAATGCGGGCATTTTAGTGATTGTCCATTACTCAAAAGAAGTTACGGCAACTATCAGTGTAAAAAATTTTGTTACCGTCAGGTAACAGCTATCAATGCATTCCTGCCTGCAAACACTTACAAGATAATCATCATTCAAACTGATCCGAACTGATGTAACTAAGGCTAAAAAAATAAGTCTTGGTTCTGCGGCACAGCCCACAACATCATAAAGTCTGCTGCACATTTCGTTTTTAGTTCCATTTAAAAAAAAAAAAAAAAAAATCCTAATACTGGAAAACAATGCAATCCAATATAGCATGCAATTACCTCCCTTTACAGCGCATCTCGTGTTATTGTCATGGTGGCAATAGGAGTTTGTATGCTTGTTTATGTAGGGAGGCCCTTTCCCAGGTTAATGGTACACAACTGTTTATATGCTTACATACTAGTTTGAACAAGCAAAAAAACAAAAACGCCTGCCCGCACAATATTTTCTAAACTCGCTGCAAGAACCAATTCTTTTACTTTTTTTAAGCCTAATTTGTTGATCTCTGCCTGATGTTTCCTGAGATCTCCGTGGATGTATTTACAATCAGTTGGTGCAGATGTTACCCTCTATATCTACACCGTGTGTCCTTCAACAACTATTGTCATGACAGCTTCTCTGGTATGCTAAACAAATAGCACCTTATTCAGTTGCAAGCTTCGAAAGATTTGACATCACATAGATATATATTTGTGCCAAAGAGGAATAAAGGTAAACCAATGAAAAACTATTTACTGTATGTTTCTGTTCTTTGCATAACCTGTATAGCCTGTGTGTTGCGTGCTCTATTATCCAGATATTATTTGGGAGCTGATACAGACTATATTTGCCACTGTTATTTTCAAGGATCCAAGGGCAAAGGATAGAGTTTGGGTAACCTACCATAACCCAAACAGGACTAACCCTGACGATCAAAGAGGCATGCATAATTATGTAATTTCCCATACTAAATAATTTGTCGTGAGTGAGTGAGTGAATTGGGTTTAACGCCGCTTTTGACAGTATCCCAGTTATATCATGGCATGTCAGCTTAATGTGGGAGGAAAGCCCGAAGTGATGCAGGTGTCAGACATTTACCACTTTGGTGAAACCCACGAACACAGATATGGTGCTGACAAACCTAGAAACATAATCAGAGCGAACCGGGATTCGGACCAACAATCATAGGTTTCTGGCGTGCCCAAGGGACGCAACTCTGCACAGCAAATCGCAGCGCCTCAGACGACTGGGCCACCCGTGCCCCCTAATTTGTCATGAGATATATCTAGTTTTATGATACAATGGGTGGTGAACAGATTCTGTAATGGCATTATTACATCGCCATTCTATTATGACAAATACACTGGACTCGTTCCTCCAAATTCAAATGAAAGTATGCTAAAAATAGCCATCCAATGAAACAACTCACATGAGCAAGAGAAATTCTGAGCTAAGTTTGTCATGGAGTGATCATCAATTCCCCAATGAGGCTATGGTGGTTAATTGGCCCATAGTACTTAATATATTAGAACAGGGATATGATGCACTTGATAATCAAGGACTGCGATGTTGATGCAGGGAAATATTTGTTACAAATAATTGTCGGTTCAAGGACATAATCTTGGAACCTGTTTAAAAATGTACGCAATACTCAACCCCAGGACAGAATTTGTCCCCATGCATTGAACAAGAACATGCTTGTCACGTAGTTACAGTGTCTCATAGGACTTCATGCCCCAACGGCACGGATCTTTGCTCATGCCATCAACCACTGGTTTGCCAGGCCCACTTTATTAGCAGATCCCCAGGAATGCTGCTGAATGAGACAGAAATGGGCTTCACACATTGTACCCATGTCGGGAATCGAACCCGGTTTTTCGGCTTTAACGCTTTAACCACTAGGCTACCCGACCGCCCTTTGTTCACAGAGAAGGCAAATGGAAAACAAAAAAGCAACAAGAGAAAATAACTTTACTCGTTTCCCCTCAGCACCGATGTTTATGATCAGCATCTGGTCATCTGGTTACAAGCCATCTCTTCTGACATATGCCAGAACATCTTTCTTCAGTGTTTCTATCACAAAACATAACAATCCATCCACTGGGCTGTCCTTCTCCAGAAGAGCTGTCACTGTGTCTCCGAGTCCCTCTATGTGTACACTACTGCTGCTGACAACATGGGGGTCTCCTGGAACCTTGCTGACATCACTGGGGACGATAAGACAAGCCATCAATTATTCCAACACTGCTAAAACAGTAATAGGGATGTTACACTCAAGACTTGGCCAATTCTGTTTGGTGTTTGACATCCTATTATGCACTTCTGAACATTACTCAATCTCATTAAAATCAGATCTAAGTTCTCCCTGCCGCTAAACAAAGATTTCAGGACATCCCATTATGGGTCACGTCAAGATGACCTTTCGCAAACTTTGATCGACCACTGAAATGACTAAGAAGAAGTCGAGATCAGCCTATCAGGAAGCATCTTTCTCGAGCTTTACGGCACTCGTTTCAACTTGGCGACTTCCATTTCACACTACGCTTGTAAAAATATGTTGACACAGTTCTCGATTAAAATTTTGAAAACTGAACAAACAAACATTCCGGAAAGTCAAACATATGGTTGAGATTGTATGGCAGTGCTTCCCACGTACTGAACAATGCACCCTTCATTCAAATGTTTATCCCACAGAAGCGAGAGATAGACGATATATAATTTTGAATCAGTCATCAGTCTGCCGTAACTGTCATTCGGAATACCCCTTGTTAACACTTTCGAAGTTGCATGATTAGAAAACACATTCTGACTGCCACTTTCATGATCTGGTAAGCGACGCTTGGATTCGTTCTGACGTGACTCGTAATGGGATGTCCTCAGATCTTTGTTTAGCGATACCGGGAACTAAAGTACTCATGGAAATGAAAAAAAACCTGTTTTGCTGGATTTAATAATCGACACAAAGCATTACGTAGATGTAAATACGAAATAACAAAACAACTGGAAAAGTACTAGTCTGGATTTGCTAGTTCAATCTCAGTGCTCAATACAAAATGTACTTTACAGGAGGTAATTTGTAGGCACTTTCAACATTCAAAAATAAAACTAATTCCAAATTGACATGGCAGAAACAGGCTATAGGCATTATGCAAATTAGCCTGGAAAAAAAGTTATCAAAACAATAAAAATAACAGCTATGTTTATGTACATAATAATAATGTCATGTAAGTTGTTGTTTGAGAAGGGAATATGTTACTTTTACGTTCTGATATTTTGACGATGATTCACTGTCCCACAATGCCACTCACAAATCACTAACTACTGACAAATCACATGCACGTGGGTTTCAGGCACCTGTTTTCACTTGTCGTCAAGGTGTCATAGGTCATGGACATTCACCTTGATCTATGAACACCTGGTTATGCTCAGTTTCACAATAGTCTGTTTTGTTCATATTTTTACACACTTTTATGTGTAAAAAGACATAAAAACCTTTGATACGCTGTATTTGTGCCAAGGCCCAATTAGAGCTAATTGAGTTGTTTGAATATTTATATATTAACTCTCTACATTCAGGCAAGTCGGAGGATCTTATTACACTTCATGTGGTTTGCTTAGGTGAGGTGAGGTGAAATGGGGTTTAACGTCGCGTCCAAGATTATTGCACTTATATAGCGACGTGCATGCACATGTGTGTTTGTGTGGCTGCTTGTACTAGTCCGGACTGATGCCGATTTATAGTGCTAGCCCACTGAGATACCATGCCGCAGTTTAACATGAATACCCCACTCAGACACAGTATACTGACTCCGAGCCGACCAGTCCTTCTTTAAGCCCCTAAATGCCGTGCGCCAGACAGGGTAACAACAAGTACCATCTTTTAACGTCTTTTGGTATGACGCGGCCAGGGATTGAACCCCGGACCTTCCGCTCTCCAGGCGGACGCTCTACCACTAGACCACGGAGGCGGTCGGTTTGCTTAGGATAATGTGCAAATTTACCATGAGAGGTTATCTGCCATGATAAATGTATTCTTAGATACTGCAATCTTATTAAAATCTCTCTACCGCTAAACAACGATCTGAGGACATCCCATTACAGGTCATGTCAAAATGGCCTTTCGCAAAATTTGACCGACCATTGAAATGACTAGTAAGAAATCCACATTAGCCAATCAGAAAGCAGCTTTCTCAAGCTGTATGGCACTAGTTTCAAACTGGCAACTTCCATTCAAGACTGCTATAAAAAATATTGATTCAAAATTTGAAGAGGAAAAACAGAAGTAAATTCTGGAATGTCTAAAAGATGGCAGAGATCGTACAGCAGTACTTCCCCTATGCTATGCAAAGTCTCTTCCATTCAAATGCTTGTCCCATTGAAACGAGAGATAGATATTTTGATGGAATCAGTCGTACAGCCTGAAACACGAAACTTATTTCAGAATATCCTGTGTCAACCTTTACACTGTCACATTCCAACTGTCACTTTCTCAATCTGGTAAGCAACGCTTTGATTGGTTGCATGATAGGTTGTTCTGACATGATCAGTAAAAGGATGTACTCAGATCAGTGGTAGCGAGAATAAGATCTGAATTTAATGAGATGGTAGAGACAGAAATATTATATGCCAAACAGACTTGGACGAGTCTATACCCAAATGCAACAAAGGTCTCACAAATCAAATTCCCCATTGCGATAGTCAGATTCAAATCTTTTGAACAAAGTGGAGTGTCATCTTTGGTTTGATGAAGCATGTGATGTTTCAGCCATATTTGTCAAGTGGTCACCGTGGTGATGGTGATTTAAGAGACAAGAATGCTTTTGAGAACTAAGGAGCATGGTTAAAATGCAAAGATCAAAAGTCAAAATTAAAACACTGTGAAAAACAGAACATACCGTATTCGACGTAATAAGTGCCCCGCTCTAATAAGTGCCCACGCGATATTTGCTAATATATTGGCTAGTGAACAATCCCAATTGGCACCCCTTCCGATTGATCAATGTACACAAGACTTATTTTTTCGCGAATAATAAGCACTCATGTGTTATATGCACCCTTAATTATGGGCAATTAAATTCTGAAAAAATATATCTGTCGTACAAAAACATTTCAGGCTGTCAGCATAAACCACAAAATTCATCTATCAACTGTTTTTTTTCACCAAAATAATATTCTAATAAGAGCCCCCTATTTCTAATTTTGAGAGCGCCCTGGGCGGTTATTACGTCGAATACGGTATGTGTTTTGGCTTCATCAATGTGGTGATAAGATGTTTATGACAGGCAGGCAATGTGTGACGGACACCAGACACAGAAAAACAGGCCATGACATAAGCTCACTTGACTATAAGTGAGCTAAACATGTGCCCCAACTTGTGGTGGAACCCCCGGTGATTCTTGGTTAGGATTGCTCCTCAGCAACCTAGGCTGCTTTTATCAGGCTGAGAGACTTGGTTGATACAGTGTCATCGTGCCATGACGACGTATGTTGTTCATAATATCAATCACAGGTTCTTCTGGTCCAGACTCGTTATTTACAAGCCGTCATCCTACAGCTGGAGTTCAGCAGTAAACAACAAACAAACCAATAATTAGGGTGGAATGTAGCGAAAGTTTTGTACCTGTCTTCAGGCAGTTTGGCTGCTGCTGATATGGTCACCTGCACATCGAAGCCACCATAGAGTACTGTGAGGCAGAGCTGCTCTACCAGTTGATCAGCTTCCACTCGAGGGGAGTATCTCACCTGCTGACAGCAGCTCCTGTATTCTCCACCATCTACAACATGTCAAATAAACATTCTCTGATCAAGTACATGCAGTGAGGTGAGGTGAAAAGGGGTTTAACGTCGCGTCCAAGATTATTGCTCTTATATAGCGACGTGAATGCACGTGGATGTGTCTGTGTGGCTGCTTGTAATAGTCAAGACTGATGCCGATTTATAGTGCTAGCTCACTGAGATACCATGCCGCAGTTTAACATGAATACCCCACTCAGACACAGTATACTGACTCCGAGCCGACCAGTCCTTGTTTTAGCCCCTTAACAGGGTAACAACAAGTACCATCTGTTAACGTCTTTTGGTATGACGTGGCTAGGGATCGAACCCCGGACCTTCCGCTCTCCAGGCCGACGCTCTACCATTAGTCCATGGAGACGGTCAGTACATGCAGTGACCACCTATAGCAGCATGCAGACATTAAACATTAAACCTTGAATATCCGGGATAGAATAGACCTTCAGCAACCCACGCTTGCCATAAAAGGCGACTATGCTTGTCGAAAGAGGCCACTTAAGTGATAGGGTGGTCAGGCTCGCTGACTTGGTTGATGCATGTCATCGATCCCAATTATGTGGATAGATGCTCATGATATCAATCACTGGCTATCTGGTCCAGATTCGATTATTCACAACCGCCGTCAAAAATGGAATATTGCTAAGACGGCGTTAAACAAAAAACAAACAAACAAAACATAATTTCTTTTTTCTTTGTAATGACCTTTCAGGGCTACTTTACACCCATTCAGTAACGTACTTAATGATGTAGCCCTGAAATGTTACAAAGAATGTGTTATCCATAAAAACTCTGCGTATCTTTAAACTTCTAAATTCAATCAAAGGTAGGATAAAGCAGTTTTCATTCAAGAACCTTTCATGTCACTTAATAGTTATTTTATCTGTATCTCAAAACAGCAAGAGGTGTGCTACTCAAATAATGATAGGGATATTCTGAGTGTCATGGTGAGGTCTGACTAACTGCTTGGATGTGTTGTCATGCGAGCAGTATTCCATATTGCCAAGGAACTGAAGCGTATAAAGCTTCATTTTAAGTTCAATAAACATAGGTGCACAATTCAATAAGTTATCGTGAGTGAGTGAGTTGGGTTTATCGCCACTTTTAACAGTATTCCAGTTATATCACAACCTGTCAGATTAATGTGGGAGGAAAGCCCCAAATGATGCAGGTCTTAGACATTTAGCACTTCGGTGAAACCCACGAGCACGGGTATAGTGCTGACAAACCCAGAAACATAATCGGAGCAAACCGGAATTCAAACCCACAATCATAGGTTTCTGGGGTGCCCAAGGGATGCAACTCTGCACAGCGCCTTAGACGACTGGGCCACCCGTGATCCCAAACATAGTTATGAAACATATGCTTATTTCTAAATTTTCAACCATGGCCCCTGTTTTACTGTTCTTACCATCACAATCAGCTAATTTCTCCAACTGTGTAAACCAGGGGTACAGGGCTCCTCTTCTGTCAGTCATAGCTTGTAAATGAAGGGAGAGTGACCGTTTCATCAAATAATTGACATAACATGACGTACTCTGTGCAAAGTACATTGTACAACAGTGTTTGCCATGTTAAGCACCCCACTCCAACAAGAGCCCTCAAACCAACTACTCGACCTATCTGCATGTAATCTTTAAAAGAACGAAAGTTTACATAACGGTTCATATGTCTGTGTGTAGAACACACATTGTTACAGAGAATAAAGCTTTGTAGAAGAGAGAGCATGTTACACACTTACAAGCATTCTGGCTTTTTGTGCTGCAGTGAAAACATTACCGCCCCTACACTGAATTATAGTTAAGGCTTAAAACAATCTCATTAAAATCAGATCTAAGTTCTTGCTGCTGCTAAATAAAGATCTGAGGACATCCCATTATGGGTCACGTCAGAACGACCTTTCGCAAACTTTGACCGACCACTGTAATGACTAAGAAGAAGTCGACATCAGCCAATTAAAAAAACAGATTTCTCAAGCTTTACGGTACTCGTTTCAACCTGGCGACTTCCATTTCAGACTACGCTTGAAAAATAGGTTGACACAGTTCTCGATTAAAATTTTGAAAACTGAATAAATGAACATTCCGGAATGTGTAATATATCGTTGATATTGTATGGCAGTGAATCCCACATACAGTGCAACGTCTCCTCCGTTCAAATGTTTATCCCACGGAAGCGAGAGATAGACTTTAATTTTGACAGGATCATTTGTATGGGCCGTAACTGTCGTTCGGAATATAGTTTACGTTTTTGAGGTTGCATGATAAGAAAACACATTCCAACTGTCACTTTCATGATCTGGTAAGCGACACTATGATTAGTCTGATGAAAGGCCGTTCTGACGTGACCCGTAATGGGATGTCCTCAGATCTTTGTTTAGCGATAGCGAGAACTAAGATCTGATTTTAATGAAATTGGGCTTATAAAAATAAAAGAATTGGTTCTCAGGCAATGACTTTTGAAAATATAGTGCGGGTGGTCGGTGGTGATTGTTTTGCTTGTTCAAACTGGTATGTAACCAAATAAACAGTTGTGTACCATCAACCTGAGAAAGGGCCTCCCTACATAAACAAGCATACAAACTCCTATTGCTGCCATGACCATAACACGAGATGTGCAGTAAAGCAGTGCGCATGTAAAGGGAAGTAACTGCGTGCTATATTGGATCGCACTGTTTTTGGGGATTTTTATATTTCATTTAAAAAAGGAAATAAAAACGAGTGAGTGAGTGAGTTGGGTTTAACGCCGCTTTTAACATTATTCCAGTTATATCACTGCGGTTCAGCTTAATGTGGGAGGAAAGCCCGAAGTGATGCTGGTCTCAGACGTTTACCACTTCGGTGAAACCCACGAGCAAGGGTATGGTGCTGACAAAGCTAGAAACATAATCGGGGCGAACCAAGATTCGAACCCACAATCATAGGTTTCTGGCGTGCCAAAGGGATGCAACTGTGCACAGCGAATCGCGGCGCCTTAGTCGTCTGGGCCACCCGTGCCCTGCATGTGTTATGAATCCAATTTTCAAGTATTGTCTGACCAAGCTTAATATAAGGTGCCGACCCTAAATTTTGGTTCAGTGGTACACTATGTTCTTTACAGTACAAGGTGAGGTGAAATGGGGTTTAACGTCGCGTCCAAGATTATTGCACCAAGATTATAGCGACGTGCACGCACGTGTGTGTGTGTGTGTGTGTGTGTGTGTGTGTGTGTGTGTGTGTGTGTGTGTGTGTGTGTGTGTGTGTGTGTGTGTGTGTGTGTGTGTGTGTGTGTGTGTCTGCTTGTACTAGTCCGGACTGATGCCAATTTATAGTGCTAGCACACTGAGATACCATTCGAACCCACAATCATAGGTTTCTGGGGTGCCCAAGGGACGCAACTCTGCACAGCGAATCATGGCGCCTTAGACGACTGGGCCACCCGTACCCCCCGAAATAAAAACGAAACATGCAGCAGACTTTATGATGATGTGGGCGTTGCCTGAGAACCAAGACTATTATTTTTTTCGCCTAACATTACAGTTCATATTTTCTTACGTACAACACACAATTTTTACAGAATACAGCTGTGTAGAAGGGAGTGCATATCTTAAATTCAGACTTCTATTTTTCATAGCAAAAACATTACCACTAGTATGTTAACACCAGAAACAGCATGTTGAAAAAAGTTTTCATCTCTCCTTTTATCTCAAATTTAAAATGTACACCCACAACTTGTGGGGTGTTAGTATTATCATGATTACTAGGTTACCTGTGAGTGTGGTGAAGACACGGTGGACGTCTTGTCTCACCTGCAGCAGGTGAAGTTCGTCAAGAAGCTGCTGTTTCTTCACCTCAAGTTTGTGAATCTCCCTCACCAGGGGCAAAACACGGCTATATCTGAAGCAAGAACCGTCCACATGGTGAGTGATGTTAAACCGTCCACATGGTGAGTGATGTTAAACTGTCCACATGGTGAGTGATGTTAAACCGTCCACATGGTGAGTGATGTTAAAGGATGACATCAAGCATTACCCAAAGGCTGAGTGAGTGAGTGAGTTGGGTTTAACACCGCTTTTAACAGTATTCCAGTTATATCACAGCGTGTCAGCTTAATGTGGGAGGAAAGCCCGAAATGATGCAGGTCTCAGACGTTTACCACTTCGGTGAAACCCGCCAGTACGGGTATGGTGCTGACAAACCTAAAAACATAATTGGGGCGAACCAGGATTGGAACCCACAATCATAGGTTACTGGCGTGTCCAAGGGATCAACTCTGCACAGCGAATCACTGCGCTTTAGACGACTGGGCCACCCGTGCCCCCATCACAAAGGCTGGAAGACCTAACCAATATGCCTTTTGTAAAAAAACATCCGTGCAATACAATATCTTCATCGAAGATATCCCACAAAACAAAATAGTAAATTGAATAGACATTGGAATTTCCTGTTATTTATCAAACAAGGCCCACACACAAGAAATGCAGCATAAAAAGTTAGTCTTCCATACAGGCAAGCTCTGCGTTGTCCTCTCTGGAACAGGTATTACTGCACACGTTTTTTAGTTTGGTTTGTTGTTTAACGCCGCACTCAGCAATATTCCAGCTAAATGACGGCGGTCTGTAAATAATCTGGACCAGACAATCCAGTGATTAATATCATGAGCATCGATCCACGCTATTGGGTTCGATGACATGCATCAACCATGTCAGCAAGCCTGACCACCCAATTCTGTTAGTCGCCTTTTACGACAAGCATAGTCACCTTTAACGGCACGCATGGGTTGCTGAAGACCTATTCTACCCCGGAATCTTCACGGGCCTCTGCACAAGTAGTGTGTCATAGCTACAGTCTTCAACATATCGGAACATATTCATGAGCCATTACATAAAAGACTCCTGATAGCTGTTCATGCTGACAAACACTTTGCACAAGCACTGGGTATAGACAAATATGATGCTGACAATAGTACAATAATGACAGCATAGGCGGAGGTGAGAATATAACCCAACAGGGGTGGTAAACTCAGTACTTAGGAAATCCTTATTCCAACAAGGAAACATCTAACAGATGGACAATAGCCCTTGGTATGTTCCGTTAGAATACATTATACCTACAAACACTTACACAAACTACTAACATATGTCACAGAAGCCATATATTCAGTGACAATGACAGATTTGTTAGAATTGGACTTCAGCAACCATGCTTGTCCTAAGAGGCAACCAACGGGATCTGGTGGGCAGGCTCGCTGAGTTGGTTTATGCATGTCATCATATTCCAATTGCTAGATTGATGCTAATGTCAGTCACCGGATTGTCTGGTCCAGATTTGATTATTTACAGACCACCGTCACATAGCTGGCGTGAATGAGTGAGTATGGTTTTACACCGCTGTTAGCAATATTCCAGCTATATTACGGCAGGGACACCACAAATGGGCTTCACATATTGTACCTATGTCGGGAATCGAACCCGGGTCTTCGGTGTGACGAGCGAACGCTTTAACTACTAGGCTACCCTACCACGCTACCCTACCGCCCTCATATAGCTGAAATATTGCTCACCGTGGCCTTAAACAACAAAACACAAATCGACAGTGACAGAGAACTATTTCTTACATTTTCTGGCCATTTGAATCCAAGACAGGTTTCAGCTCTTCAGCAACTTCAGCAACTTCAGCCACTAAGTCGTCTTTCCTATTCATCAACCCATGTTTCTTGAGCTGAATAACTGATAGATCTTTGTAATCCTGGGAGAGAAAAATGTTTCACATGTAAATATTCCAGTGCATGAGGATCAACATCCCCCATGCTCCAGTGTGTTACATAGCCATTCTATAGATAAATACCCAGGACAATTCATCACCTACGCTTCATCTCAGAAGTGACATCATCTCCCTCATCTCCAACTTAGCATGGAATTTCTCTTGCTTGTGAGCTGGTAATCAACAACCAATCAAAAGGACTGTTCTGAATGAGTGTTCAGGAGAGGTCGAATTTCAAAATGGCAGCCTTGTTTGAGCAGAGACCATATAATAGTCTCTGGTTTGAGTGAGTGTGCTCTCAACACATTTAAAGAGGTTGCATACAAAAAACAAAAAATTCAAGAAATGGGTATATTTGGTATCATTTTGTAGGAAAATATGTCCTGAATCAAATTACGCAATAAAAAAACCAAGTCACCACGGCATTTTTTGAATAAGTGGCGCCATCTAGAGGCACCGGATGATAAAATCATTTTGCCAATAAAATGGTCATTTTAAAGTTTGATTATTAAATGAGCGTTTTTAAATAGACATATTACAGTATTGATGTGACACAAAACAGAAAAATGAAAATTCAAGTCAAATAAATTTTAATTTCACACATCATTTGACTGATGAAAATCGATTCATCAGTCAAAAAAGCATTTTACAAAATCAAGATATTTTTCAAACTGGTTTATTTCTAATGTTTATTCATTGTAAAATAAAATTATAAAACAAAAACAACATGTTACCAGAGTATATTCAAATTATTTTCAATCTACACAGCATACCCCTAAAATAATGAATCAGGGGAGGTAACTCTTGCCCAAATTTACATTTCTATGAGTTCATGTTGGCGGAAGTACAATTAGCCGCAAGTCAAAGGGACGTAACCACATTACAAATACTCGCCATTACATGCGCGTCCGGTATGCGCATGAACAATGGTATCCAACGTCTTTAATCGAATCAGACGACTGCTAGAAATGATACTGTAACTGTAAATATTTTTCTGAAAATTTAGATGAGGGGAGGGAAGTCATAATTAGGACTGGTTGGTTGGTTTGTTGTTTTACGCTGCACTCAGCAATATTCCAGCTATATGACAGTGGTCTGTAAATAACCGAGTCTGGACCAGACAGTGATTGATATCATGAGCATCGATCCACGCAATTGGGGTCGATGACATGCTTCAACAAGTCAGCGAGCCTGACCACCCGATCCAGTTAGTCGCCTTTTACGGCAAGCATGGGTTGCTGAAGACCTATTCTACCCCGGACTTTTCACGGGTCTCATAATTAGGAGTTCCTTTAGTATTTGAGTTTATGGTCCACGACTACAATATCTACTAATCAGGAAGACAAATCAGATTTGCTGTCCAGGGGGCATAGGGGGCGTGGACATGGTTGAGTTGTACAGGACTGGTGTTTTGCTGTTATAGTACAGGCATATATGAGAACAAGATCAGCAGTATTACGTAGCGTTCACGTACATATATATATACAAATGTACACACAATGTAAATTTAAGATATACCAATGATGGCAAATAAACTCAGTAAATGAATACTTCCGGTAGTTTAGATCCTTGTGTTTCTGTAGACGTATCAGCAGAGTACACTTGATTGTACATTTAGATCAGAAAACGCTACACATTCATAATTCACTGTAATAAGGACTGACTTTGCCGTCTGTCACTTTAACCCGCCACAATAATGATGGTTTGTTTTTCAGGGACTATCTACTTTCTTTCATTTGTGTACAGTGATATCGATGCTTGTTTCAATCATGGAAGAAGGGTAATTTGATTGCACATCTATTTTTAGCGTCAAGTCATTCAAACAAGGCTCAAAATGAAGCACTGGTGGCAAATGGAGCCAAGGTACAAAATACATGAGGCACAATACATCAAGGGCTTGGAATACAAGGAACTAGTTTTGACAGGGATGTATCTAGACCTGCTCAAAGGGCGACATGCGGCCCCAACAGGGGTAGATACCATCAGTCAGCAGCCGATTTTAGACTAGTGGTCATGTCTATCCCTGCCCCAGTCTGCAGCAAATGTCATTAAGTGAGTGAGTGAGTATGGTTTTACGCCGCTTTTAGCAACATTCCAGCAATATCACAGCGAGGGACACCAGAAATGGGCTCCACACATTGTACCCATGTCGGGAACTGAACCCAGGTGTTCGGCGTGATGAGTGAATGCTTTAACCACTAAGCTACCCGACCCCCCCAAATGTCATTAAGAATTACCAAAATGGAACTATAAATTTCCTAATTCTTTTAATAATGAATAATCTTGGTTTGTATCCCTTGGCACATGACAAATTAACAAAAACAGTTCTTAGTAATTAAAATCTAAAATGATTGTAATACAAGGGACCAAAAAAAATGTAACTTGTATTACTAAAGAAGTGCATATGCCGTTTAGCATGTTTAGATGGTGACGATAACTTGTACACCCTACTTAATGGGAAAGTTGTGTTTCTGGTTCAGTAAGTAGGGCTGGGACGATACACAAGGTCACGATACGATACGTATCACGATATTTGGGTCACGATACGATACGTACGATACGATACAAAAAAAACGTCACAAGCTGGTGGAAGATGATGAAAGTTTAATGTAAAATAGTTCTCATCAAATAACTCAAATTTTCCTCCAGAACATGTGTCAAACACAGCACATGTCACTCAATAGCAAGACTCAAAACACCTGAGTTAAGGAGCCTGACTAAATACCTGGATTTTCTGCAATAAAAATGCATTCTAAATGTCATCTGAACAGCAGAACTATTTGGCAATACGATTTGTTACTCGTAGTATATCAGCTGTGTATTGTTTTGTATTACGAATCGATAGTCGTATCGAAATGTAATGTATCGTGATACATCAATGTATCGGCGAATCGTCCCAGCCCTATCAGTAAGTATCATCGTGTTACTATATAACTCCTTACTTACAGCAGACGGGGAAATTGAAATTGTTTACGAAGCGAGCATGTCCTGCTTACTGATTTGCATTAATAGACAGCCTCGAAGAGGTGTGTCCCGCGTGAACTACCGGAAATCACAAATGCCGCGATACGATGAATGCCGCGGTACCACGGGGTCCGAGTATAAATTTAATATGAAATAGGTGAAACATATACCACACACCCCCCCCCCCCTTCCCTTCCCTTAGATCCCCAACACTTATACACATACACTCCTTTCGTTAGACGATTAAATTATGAATTGTAACAGAAAACATAATTTCCTACAGTACATATATACAGACACACAATAGCCATCAGGACAACGCAGATCTATGTTTATCATCTGCAGCCAAAATATTATCAAATATCTAACAGATTTTAAAATGACATACTCCTTTAATTTGTGACTGAAGAACTGAGAGCCTTTCACGAATCGTCACTGACATTGTAAACTGGCGAACATCTGTGTCTCTTTGTCCATATGAGATCATATAACCAAACACACAGCCCCTAATATAATTCACGTCAAAAAGTTTTATACGTCGCGCCCAGTCCACTTCCTTTAATTTTAATTGGCATGCGCAGAAGGCAACGGGTTTCATAAAATAACTAATAAACGAATAAAGCACACAAATATACGAATTGATAACAGATCTTAATGAAAATAATTTAATCAGTAAATATGCTTACAAATACTCTTTTCTAAATTACAGCTTATAACAGCGCCGTGTTTTGTAAGTTGTTCCACAAAAGTGATGTCTTTAACGAATCATATTTCGTTTTAAAGCCAACCTCTCGCTTCTTCTTTTTACTGTCACGCATTTTGACTTCCGGTTGATAAAAGACCCTGTTTTCCCTACAAAAGATAGATATGCCGAGCAAAAAGAAGAAGTATAATTCACGATTTCCTCCGGTAAGAAACCCTTGACACGTATATTATGTATTCTATCGATGTAAACGATACCTTGACCCACTCAAAACCTACACTTCATGCTTTCAGGCAAGAATTAAGAAGATCATGCAAACCGACGATGAAGTTGGAAAAGTGGCTGCGGCTGTTCCGGTTATTATATGTATCCTTTGTGGAAAAGTCAGTAGGCTATCTAAGATGCTAATTTATTGTTATTAAGTTTATGTTTTATTATGTGTTGCTCTGAAATGCTTCAGCATTTGATTTTTCATCAGACAAATCACCATCGACTTCAAAATCAAACGGCATTATCTGGGACACTTAGTTGCGATCATTAAAAACAACATTTCGACATTAATATTTTAATGATAGTCATGTAAATCGTCCATATACATATCCATTACCAAAATAGTGTTTAAGAATTGCCTGGCAAACGTTTAGTTTTTCTAACCTCCAGTGAATTGTGTGTGGTATTTCCTATTTATGATATGTAAACAATAACAACAAACAATCATACCATTTGCTTAAAACTGTACCATTACCACATCAGCTTTTCTAGAATCTTAATTTATCACAATTTTGTATTGGGACAATATGCTCAGTTGAATCATTGTTCAGTATACCTGTTCAATAATGTTGTATTTTTAAAAAATAAACAAAATGTTCAGTTCAGATAATGTTTATCGTTTTTCATCCCAAGTGAACTTTTCTCAGATTCTAAGGCTATTTTCACAAAACAAGCATATTAATCATGTCAAGATGATAAAGGATACAGTTCATTTGTGTCTCATTCTTGCCATAATATTGCATCAGTTTAATTGGAATTAGAAGATGTCACCTAATCCGAAATTATGCTTACATCATGTTAATCCCTTTATCTCTTCGTCATGTTCATGTAAAACAGTTGGTTTTTTAGTTTTATCAACACAATTTCAGGATATTGTCTAACCCTTTAAAAAATACCATGTAGTGCATGTTGAACATTGGTGACGCTTAACATGTTGGACAGTTTACATGGACCATGATAATTGTTTTATGATTTTCTAGAGTGGAACAAACCAGTTATTAACATCTGTGTTACTAATTTAGATGCATTGTTAAGTTTAGAATTGGACAATTAACACCTCCGCCAGCTTCTCTAATCTTGTCAGTGCTCACAGCCTTTAAGTGTAAGTTATTAGAAAGTCAGATTCACACCCTCTAGTTTCTATTATAAATTCATTGTTGGATTGTTATATGATCACTGAAAGTACCTTGTCTAATTGGATGTTTGGTCTTTTGTCTCTAAATAAAGGTATATATTTCATTATTCAGGCTTACCATTTGCGCTGTTACAAGTTTGCTCAATTTACATAAGGGATTAACATTGCCTCTTCCTCATGTTCATGTCAGAAAATGGAATCGTAATTGTAGAATAGAGTGGGCGGAATAAAATTTGTCCATTCTCAGTATTTTTTTGAATGCATAATTAACATGGTTTTTTTTACAGGAGTATATCATTGTTTTGTATTATGAGTCAATTTGAGTACATAAGAGTATATTTATTTTGAGATATTTCATCAAGTTGTCATGTATCTTTGTGATACTTTCTTGTTGCATATTTCTTAACCTTCCTCACAGCCAGGGCTTTAGAGCTGTTCATTGAATCTCTCATTCTCAAGACCAATGAAACTACAACAGCAAAGAATGCAAAAACCCTTACAACGTCACACATGTAAGTATGATCATCAATTCATCATGATTATGACTTCTTGAAATTTCCAAAAATAGTAAAGCAGTTCTCAAATAGAAGTTTGATATGACAAATTACAAATTATACCCTTGATAGCTTTGATAGCTTTCATGCTGTTCTTTACAAAAAAAATTGAATTTGCTGTAACCATGGCATTTTCCCAAGGCAAGAGAGTTAACTGACTTTATAAGTCCCGTTTCCACCCTTGCCAATCTAGACTGGAATTCCTGGGCTCGATTGTAGCGCCACCACTGGCTATTACCACTTATGTCCCTTTGATAGGGTTGCGACCGGGTACGAAAATTGAACTCGAGTACCCGGCAGACAATACCCGAACCGGACTCGAGTACCCGTAGTTCAATGTTGTCCCACTTGTTTGTAATGCTTTTGCGAATAAAAGGTCATCAAACATCTATTGATCTATTCTAAGGTATTATGGATTTTTTAAATGCCTGCATGCATGGCTTCCCTAAAACCACAAGTGACGCAGAATATCAAAGTAAATGCTCTTGTGTTTAAAACGTAGATGCTTTTTCATGGAACTCGTCGAACTACCCGCGTGGCTGATACATATGCCACAGAGACAGCATTTGGTCTTTTTCTTTGTGTCATCAAGGTCAAAATACGCCCAAACATTTGAACGTTTGTCCGCTTTGTCGTCCATTTTGAAGTGACTTACAAGTTATCTCCCCTGAACGGGTACTCGAGTCCTGAAAATTGGACTCGAGTCCTAGGCTATCCGACCAGTTATCGGGTACTCGAGTACCCGTTGCAACCCTACCCTTCGAAGCCTCTCCTATAGACCAATCAGATTCCACCTCTCGTATCACTTGCATTTGCTTCAAACAAAATGGCGACGCCCAGTCAGGACAACCTGATCGATAATCAAGATCTATATTGTGATGAAACGGGTCTTACATCGCAAAATGCATCAAATCACGTGAGCACCTTGATTAAAAACATGAAAAGATTTGGAAAATATCTGCTGACAACCAGTTGGCGGTGCACATGCTTTGCAAATCCTGCAGTCGACCGAAATCTGCACAACAGTTTACGAACCGGATTTCGATTTCACTGCGCGATTTTGATTGGACTATGCATAGACTCATTAGTCCAGCCAAAATGTAACTCCAAAATACCAGCCTAGTTCAGCAAGGGTGGAAACTGGACTTTTATAGCCAGTTTACTCTCTTGCCTTGGGAAGATGTAACCATGGTAACATGTCATAGTTTCCACTATAGTCCTCAAGTACTGGTATGAAAATGAAGCTATAAAGGAAATTCTTCACTCTCAGGCGATAGCGTATTACACTTGTTAAATAACCATTCATCATGAAACGATTTTCTGTTGGTCTAATAATGAAAGACAAAGGTAAGTGTACATTCCGACTGCCAGGTGATAGTACTTGTTTTGTTCAGGTAGTAATAGTTACATGGTGTTTTGTTTGTTTGACTTTAGAAAGCAGACAATTCAGGCAGAGAAAAAGTTTGACTTCCTGCGGGATCTCGTGTCCAACATCCCGGATCACCAGACCGAGGAAGATGGAGGGGAGAACTCAGGGGCCGCTGAACCCAAGAAACCAAGGGGACCGCGAGGGTTAGTAGCTGTGGTGACTGAAACATCAGCAGTATAATGTAGCGGGATTCGTTACCATATGTTTAATCTCAACCAACACCAGGGAGGAGTCACTGTTTTACTTACAGTGCTGAAGCCAAGAAGTGCCCCACTTCTTGTAAGAAATCATTATGACAATTGTAATGAGATTTGGCTGCTAACCCGTGAAGACCTGGGTTAGAATAGGTCTTCAGCAACCCATGCTTGCCATAACATGCGGCAGTGCTTGTTGTAACACTACTAACAGGCGTAAAACGGGATCGGGTGGCCAGGGTCGCTGGCTTGGTTGATGCATGTCATCGTATCCCAATTGCCTAGATTGATGATCATGATATCATTCACTGGATTGTCTGGTCCAGCCTCGATTATTTATATATGTGGTCATATAGCTGGACTATTCTATAACTGCAGCATTAAACAAACAAACAATTTGTCTCCTGCTGACTAATCACGCCCATTCTGAAAGGCAACACTCATGATGTTTGGACCCTTTGGGGATTCAAGGTTAGAATTGATCCTCTTCAACCTATGCGTGTGGTAGGAGTAGAGCTGCATGATATTACCAGTGTACTAGTATACCACAATTTGAAATGGGAATGAATACATATCACAATGCATTTGGAAAATACCGGTATGTTGCATTTTTTCAAAATCATGCATATTTTCATCTTGTAAGCAAAGTGTACATACCGTATTTGACGTAATAAACGCCCAGGGCGCTCTCAAAATTAGAAATAGGGGGCTATTATTAGAATATTATGTTGGTGAAAAAAACAGAGTTGAAAGATAAATTTCGTGGTTTATGCTGACAGCCTGAAATGTTTATGTACGACAGATATATTTTTCCAGAATTTAATTGCCCATAATTAAGAGTGCATATAACACACGAGTGTGTATAATACACGAATAAATAAACCTTGTGTACATTGATCAATCGGAAGGGGATGCTAATTGGGATTGTTCACTGGCCAATATATCAGCAAATATCGCTTTGGGCGCGTATTAGAGCAGGGCGCTTATTACGTTGAATACGGTAAGTGACAAATAAATGAAATTGTGAACTTCATTCCTGTGATTGAAAAAGCAGAACTATTCATGACCAGCTTCTGTATATAATGTGTCTATGCATTGCAACCATAGCAACATCAAACAAAATGGTGGACGACCTTGTCAAACATGTGCAGGTCCGATGTATGGGTCCTTTTTTATTCAGGTTCATAACAAATTACAGATGAAAGAACATATGCAATATATTGTGGTACACTGCAATAAGAAAGTCAGGCCAATAACTATCACTTGGTAAGAGGCGACTTAATGGATCAACTGGTCAAGATTACTGACTTATTTGATTGTGTGTCATTATATGAAGATAACATTGTACCCTGATTGTTGTTCATAGTCATAATATTCACCAGTGGATTGTCTGGTCCAGACTCAACTAGTTACATGCTGCTGTGTAGGGGTGAAACGAGGCACCAGTGCATCGTGAGTTCTCATGCCATGATACGATACACCTTTTTATAGGGCGGGGAATATAGAAACGGGCTCCATCCGTCCGTCCGTCATGTTTCGTTTCCGGAGCATAACTCAGAAACCGTTCAATATTTTTTCATCAAACTTTGCAGGTTTGTCAGGTACATGCTGAACTGGTGCCTTTATCTATTAAGAAATTTTTGAAATTTTTATTTTTAACATTTCCATGGCAACAAGATGGACTTAGGTTCTGTGAGGGTAGGGTTCGTTTCCGGAGCATAACTCAGAAACCGTTCAATATTTTTTCATCAAACTTTGCAGGTTTGTCAGGTACATGCTGAACTGGTGCCTTTATCTATTAAGAAATTTTAGAAATTTTTATTTTTTACGTTGCCATGGCAGCAAGATAGACTGAGGTTCCAAACTCTTCTTTTTTTGTACAATTTCCATGACAAGTTCCACCTCGGTTAAAAAAGGTTAGGGTTTGTTTAGATTTAATTATGTCATAAATTCTGCAACAGGGGCGGGGGGTATAGCCACGTTAGTGGCAAACTCTTGTTTTTTCTGTACCGATAGATTCGATACAAGACGATACACTTGCTGAAATAAATTACTTACTCATCTTTGAATGACCCCCAGTGTTTTTGTCAGCCAAACATCGTAAAATGTGTTGTAATTAGCCTTTTCAAGTTAACTACTAAAAATAGCCACTACAAACATATGTCTGCAGCTTGCTTTTCCTCTTAAACCTGATCTGAAATATTTATAGTCAAAAAGTTAAATAAAGTTTCCACACAATTTTGAGTAAATATGGGTAACTCGATGCATATCTTATTATGACCTATGTATCATGATACATATTGTATCCTGACCTTGCCGTATCGTTTCACCCCTACTGCCATCATAGAGCTGGAATATTGCTGAATGAAGCATTAAACAACAAAACCAATATGATGATATAGGTCTATATAATCATCAGCTAATGCACACTAGATGTCCTGGGGTTGTTGTGCAAACAATATCTCAGCATCAGAACATTTTGTTGAAGACAGGACCGCCTCCGTGGTCTAGTGGTAGAGCGTTCCCCCGGAGAGCTGAAGGTCCGGGGTTCGATCCCCGGCCGCGTCATACCAAAAGACGTTAACAGATGGTACTTGTTGTTACCCTGTGTGGCGCTCGGCATTAAGGGGCTAAAACAAGGACTGGTCGGCTCGGAGTCAGTATACTGTGTCTGAGTGGGGTATTCATGTTAAACTGCGGCATGGTATCTCAGTGAGCTAGCACTATAATTCAGCATCAGTCCGGACTAGTACAAGCAGCCACACACACACACACACACGTACATGCACGTCGCTATATAAGTGCAATAATCTTGGACGTTAAACCCCATTTCACCTCACCTTGTTGAAGACAGTGTTCATGGTGTTGACTTATGCATGTCAACTTAAATGCAATAATTTGGTACCTTCTACCTTTATCAAGTTAGTGATCAACAACTGGGTGAGGCATGTCAACCATGCCTTCGTTGATACAAAGGGGGCACGGGTGGCCCAGTCGTTTTAGGCGCCGTGATTCGCTGTGCAGAGCTGTGTCCCTTGTGCACGCCAGATACCAATTATTGTGGCTTCGAATCCCGGTTCGCCCAAATTATGTTTCTAGGCTTGTCAGCACCAGACCTGTGCTCGTGGGTTTCACCGAAGTGGTAAACGTCTTGAGACCTGCATCACTTCAGGCTTTCCTCCCACATTAAGCTGAAACACTGTGATATAACTGGAATACTGTTAAAAGCGGCGTTAAACCCAACTCACACACTCACTCGTTGATACAACTTCTAAATCCCATTTTAAGATTCGACATTTAGAAATCAAGGCCTTACCTGCTTACCATTGTGATTACCAGGTATTTTTTTTTTTTTTTTTACAGGCCACGGAAGCCCAGAGATGGCACTAGTGCAAGGAAGAGAACAGGGAGAAAGTCTTCATCGGAAAGTTCAGAAGCTAATGTGAGTGGTCAATATTTCTACAGCTTATACATAGTAACACAGCAATAGTCATGGATCCAATTTGGTAATGTTGATCTAACTGATTCTTTAGATCCCTTGTTACCATGATTATCAATACAAATTGACTCTACATGCAACCTTTGGATTATGTTTGGGACAAGAGAATATACACAATGTCTTTATTGTCAATGGTTAATAAATGTGATGATGACAATCTCACTAGAATCTGATCTCTTACTGTGTTTTGATAGCTCTCCATCGAGATCTGACTCTTCCAGACTAGGTCGTATCAGGTTGACTTTATATTCAGCTAGTCAGCATGGAGACTTGAGCTCTCCATCGAGATCTGACTCTTCCAGACAAGGTCGTATCAGGTTGACTTTATATTCAGCTAGTCAGCATGGAGACTTTAGCTCTCCATCCAGACCTGACTCTTCCAGACAAGGTCGTATCAGGTTGACTTTATATTCAGCTAGTCAGCATCGAGAATTCAGCTCTCCATCCAGACCTGACTCTTCCAGACAAGGTCGTATCAGGTTGACTTTATATTCAGCTAGTCAGCATGGAGACTTTAGCTCTCCATCCAGACCTGACTCTTCCAGACAAGGTCGTATCAGGTTGACTTTATATTCAGCTAGTCAGCATGGAGACTTTAGCTCTCCATCCAGACCTGACTCTTCCAGACAAGGTCGTATCAGGTTGACTTTATATTCAGCTAGTCAGCATCGAGAATTCAGCTCTCCATCCAGACCTGACTCTTCCAGACAAGGTCGTATCAGGTTGACTTTATATTCAGCTAGTCAGCATGGGGACTTTCGAAATTCTCAGTAGGAGTGAGCAGAGTATTCACTCCAGCATATCTGATTTATATATCTCAAAATTGAACCTATGTGAGTAGGTTGTGGATAGATTACTTCCTGTCGTTTCAGTCACGTCTTTCATCAACATCATAATATATTTCAGCTGTGGTTTCATTTTTCTCAAAACCAAATATTTGTTAACTTGTCCTTTGAGCATTCCAAGACCACCAGTTGGACATTGCATTGTGTTAGAAAGCTGACATCAGATTGGCTCGAATGCCCACACATCCTCAAATGGGCGGTCAAAGTTGCATTTGGGTTCAAGTGATGCTTCCTTTTCTTGTGGCGGGGACCCGTGAAGAACCGGGGTGGAATAGGTCTTCAGCAACCCATGCTTGCCGTAAAAGACGACTATGCTTGTCATAAGAGGCAATTAAAGGGATCGGGTGGTCAGACTCGCTGACTTTGTTGATGCATGTCATCGTATCCCTCATTTCGTAGATCGATGTTCATGATGTCAATCACAGTATTGTCAGGTCCAGACTCGATTATTTATAGACCGCAGTCATATAGCTGGAATATTGCTGAGTGAGGCATTAAACAACAAACAAAACAAAATCTTGCTGAGGGTGTGTCAGATTTTGACATTGGGAGATCCTGAATCCGAGTGAACGATCTGATTTTAATTAGACTGGATAATTCTCTGTGAGTACATGCAGAGCTCCAGATAAGCTTTTGGTGTTGTGGGTATTTTACCCATGCATTTTAAAATCATTGGGTATCAGTAATTCTATCTGGGTATTCAAATTTCTGTTACCCACTAGTTTTTACACATGTGGGTATTTGAGTTAAGTATTTAAAAACGCTATTCATCTAGTCCCTGCAAATTGGTGTTGTGTGGGTTTGAGAGCTTTATCGGACTCAAAAATACCACGATACTTCCACAAGAAAGTGTGTTGGCAAATGATCATGATGTAACTGTCATCGTGGAGTTTGGCAAGGTTGACGGAATGCCCATTTATAATTTCAAAATAAGTTTCTGATTTGCTAATCGAATACGCAGAGTTACTTCACAATATTTTGATGATACGCACAAGTTTTATTTTTGTAGCGTATCTGTAATATTCGTTGCGTATTTGATACGCTTGAATTTTATTTTACTGCGTATTTGCGCATTTCTGATGCGTATTTTATGCAGATACGCAGCTTATCTGGAGCTCTGACATGTGATGTACTGGAATTGGGTCTTTGACTGGGATTAAGAAGTGATACACATAAGAGAGAGAATTTATATTTGCCAACTTCTTTATTATGAAGAACACAACATTTCAGAGTATATGCTTACTCCATCATTAGGGGATGAAGGAGTAAGCATATACTCCAAAATGTTGTGTTTCTAAAAGTAAAGAATTTGGCATCCATAGATTCTCTCTCTTATGGAATCAGGTGATAAAACAATGAAGAAATACATGATGTCTCAATGTTGTACATCTCCTTAACTGACAGGCAAATGAAGATGATGAGGAAACAGAGACGGATGAGGAGGAGAACAATGGGACGTCGGCACCCACCACCCCCGTGATGACCTCCCCCTCCACCAGCCAGCAGCTGAACTCACCCCCCACAGCTCACATCCCAGCACCACACCCCCTTCATGTGCAGTCACTCCCACCACAGATGCCTTTCAACAGGTAGGTGTTTACCATCTGCTAGCTCGTCCTCCTCCCCCCCTCCTCCCCCCCCCCCCCCCAGGGATTCCAGGTTAGAATTGGTCTCCTGCTATCGTAAGAGGCGATTTGATGGTCGGACAAATCATTGTACTGGTTCAGATGCCTTTCAACAGGTAGGTGTTGACCATCTGCTAGCTCACCCTCCTCCTCCTTGGGATTCCAGGTTAGAATTGGGCTCCTGCTATCGTAAGAGGCGATTTGATGGTCGGACAAATCATTGTACTGGTTCAGATGCCTTTCAACAGGTAGGTGTTGACCATCTGCTAGCTCACCCTCCTCCTCCTTGGGATTCCAGGTTAGAATTGGGCTCCTGCTATCGTAAGAGGCGATTTGATGGTTGGACAAATCATTGTACTGGTTCAGATGCCTTTCAACAGGTAGGTGTTGACCATCTGCTAGCTCGCCCTCCTCCCCCTGGGGATTCCAGGTTAGAATTGGGCTTATGCTATCGTAAGAGGCGATTTGATGGTTGGACAAATCATTGTACTGGTTCAGATGCCTTTCAACAGGTAGGTGTTGACCATCTGCTAGCTCACCCTCCTCCTCCTGGGGATTCCAGGTTAGAATTGCAGAGCTCGAGATAAGCTTTGGTGTTGTGGGTATTTTACCCGTGCATTTTAAAATCGTTGGGTATCAGTAATTCTATCTGGGTATTCAAATTTCTGTTACCCACTAGTTGTTACACATGGTGGTATTGAAGTTAAATATTTAAAAACTCTATTCATCTAGTCCCAGCAAACTGGTGTCGTGTGGGTTTGAGAGCTTTATAGGACTAAAAAATACCACGATATTTCCACAAGAAAGTGTGATGGCAAATGATCATGATGTAACTGTCATCGTGGAGTTAGGCAAGGTTGACAGAATGCCTGTTTATAATTTCAAAATATGTTTCTGATTTGCTTATCGAATACGCAGGGTTACTTCACAATATTTTGATGATGCGCACAAGTTTTATTTTTGTAGCGTATCTGTAATCTTTCCTCCCACATTAAGCTGACACGCGGTGATATAACTGGAATACTGTTAAAAGCGGCGTTAAACTCAACTCACTCACTCACTCATTCATTCAAGAAGCAATAGACAGTTGAGCATTCTTCTTTCAACAAGCTCAGGATGGAGCACAATACTTCTGTTATGTTGAACCAGGTGTGGAGTAGGTCCCTCAGGTCAGATAACCCACCCCAGGGCAGCAGGCACACAGATCCATCACCCAAGGGCACGTATCTCATACAGGTTGAGCTGCCAATTGTGTACACATAGATCAAACAGGCTTGAAAAGGCTTGTAATTCGGATTACTCATTTGAAAAGGTCGGAAGTGTGACAATACATTGGTTATATAACAACCTTGAATTTGGTTTACATCCAAGCTTACTAGGTAAAGGTTCAGCATAAATGTTTCTCTATCAGCAAGAGTGAGAACACATCACTCTGGATAATATTCATGAACCTACTGGTAGAGAAGTCTATTTTCACCCTAATGATACAGTTCCACTAACATGTTTTGGCAACAATGTGAATTGCTTGAAATATTAATATAATTTTTCCTTCTGTTTTTCTCTTGCAACCATACCTGACATATTTTCTGCAATAATCATATTATGAAAAAGTACATGAAAAAGTAACATTATTTAGCAATTGTCAGTGTCGTAAGAGTAAATATATTATGCATTGCCAGCCTGCATGTCAAGTTAACACCTTGTTATAATTTAACTTTTAATCCTTCTGATACACTTGATAAGTCTATAATAATTGCTAATACGTAATTAACTACTGGGTAAATAATGATCCCTGACCAATTATTACCTCTACCCCTTTGCACGCCCCCCTCCCCCATCCCCAAACCCACCCCACACACCAACCACCCCCACCCCACACGCCAACCACATGCTGTGACCCTATGATATGTCCCAAACCTGCCTGCATCTGTCCCATTTGATGCTTATTGTCTTGAAGGGGAAGTATCACTATTCTGTTTGTACTCTATATCAAAATAAATACATACAGAGTAATATTTCTAGTCAGGTGTTAATATTCATCCTTGTTGTTTTTAAACAGCTATTGCCAACACTAGGATGTAAAATGTCTCCAGTTTAGGGAATTACTTTTATAGAAAATGAATATATATAAATATATCAAATGCTGACTCTCCATTAGGGAAAATAAGTTTGATGATATTCTAGCAGCTGTACTACGATTTCTTGCCATCAATTTGTTATGGGCCGAACATGGTCACGGGTGTACACCTCTTTCAAGCTCCTCACAGCGATAGCCCGTTCGCAGAACTCTCTATTCTATCGCTGCCACCAGTCAAAATTCCCCACTGTGAATAGGTGGCCACAACCATGCTTGGAGTTGAACTCGCAACCGAATGACAGTTATGGTTACAAACAACCGACGACTGTCGTGACGCTGAATACACTTATCGCTGCTAAATTTCTTTCTTCGTTTGTCAATTTGAATTTCTGTTTCATTAAAACTATCGTGTTATTGATATAGTAAGAATGTAAGGGAGAAGTTGGTTGATTTTCTGTTAGTCTGCAATCTCGAACCAATCTGATTATCAAAAGAACAAAGTAAATTCATCTGGAAAACATGGTCAGTCGTAAACCTTTTCAAATTGAAATATGATGGCATTCCCAAAGACATAAACAAAAGTATAAACGTTACTACAAATGGGGTTAGAGGGCAAATTTCAAGATTCTTGTAATGGCCGCGCCCACACTGGTGGCAGCGATGAAACCATGAGTGTAACGAAGGTGTCACGCGCTGGGAAGGAGCATGCACCTCTTTGTATAAGGGGAACTAACTCTCACCGCCTTATTTGCTGCACTGTCCAAAAAGATCTGTGTAATGGTATGGTTGAGTCCATGAGTATTCTGAGTATTGATGTCATTGGCTGGTCTAGGATGTTCTAGGGTTATTGTTGGCCAGGAAGTTCCAGATGTAATTCATGCCTCTGTTAAAGCACAGGGTCACGCTGAAGACCTCGGTTGGGTACACATGGGTTCACTGTGTGAAGCCTATTTCTGGTGTCCCCTGTCGTGATATTGCTGAATATCGCTTGGAATATATAAGCAGCATAAAATCTGACTCATTCTATTGACATGATTAAAACATATGATGTTTCTCTATTTATGATATTTAGCCCTATTTCTAGACTTTTATCCAAATTGTATTAAGGGCAAGGTGTAAATGGCCTGACACCTATAATTGAGTGAGTGAGTGAGTACATTTTTATGCCGCTTTAACTTAAGTAATATTCCAGCAATATCAGGGGAACACCAGAAATGGGCTTCACACATTGTAGCCATGTCAGGAATCGAAGCCGGGTCTCCAGCGTGACAAGCGAATGCTTTAACCACTAGGCTACCTGACCGCACCTGACACCTATAAAAAACGTTCATAGCCACTCAGTTGAGTGCTAGCTACATTGTTTTTTGTTTTTTTCGTTTCAGCATCCCGTATTCAATGCCCCAAATGTCTCAGGTCCCCTGTATGCCGTCGGTGTCGGGCATGTCATCCTCGCTGCCACAGCAGAAAGTAATAGAAGATGACGACTACGATACATGATTCTACACAATAGATGTTAATGAACCACAGTTAAGGACTGCAGCTAATGAGAAAAACTGATCTCTTGTTTCCAAAACTGGCTGCTGAACTCTTCATGTTTTAATGCCCATGTTGTGTATATTATTCATGGTTTTAATGTGAACTTCCCTTTGTTATTGGGTGTCCAGTGAAGATGTTGTACTTATAAAGTATAATGTTCAGTCATCCAATGTGTGTTAAAAGTAAAACAACACTTCCCTGTAGTGATTTACCTTTTATTTTTTTTATGATTGTTACAAAAAATGAACTTAATGATATGGTTATTGGCTTAATTTCATTCATGTCTTTTGTTTCGTACAGTGAATATTCTGTGTATTATCAGTAAACCTGACTCTGTAGCCAAGTCGGTCAGCTTGGTTTGTTACCATGGTTACAACCAGAAACCAAGCGGAATAGTCGAAAGGAAATGCCCAGTTGATAAATAATTTGAAAAACGTTTTGGTTCCATATTGAAATTTAGAACAGTTTTGGGTGAGGTGGGATCTAAACTGTCTGTAGTAGATATGGTTTGTCAGTCCTCTCTGATAGCTGGACTATAATTAGATGACTGGTTTGTAGACACTGGAAGGCTTTTTGCTTGTATTTTCAGCTTTACTCTGAGAGATTTGGAATAGGCTACTGGTCAGTACAACTTTGTTGTTTACGATCTTTGTGTTGGCAATATATGCACTGTTCAGTGTACATCCCAAAGTCCATCTTGAAAAAACTGTGAGAACTTGTATTCTTCAAGAGAAGTGACTGATCCATCGTACTGCCACAATGCCAAGAAGATGTTTAGTTTTTGTCATAGTTTATCCCTGTCTGTTAATGTTTATCAACACTGTGTGTTTAGGTTCAAGTGATGCTGTGTCATCATTCCCATATTCATTGGCTTCATCAGCATCCATTACTGGCATCATTTTGGGCTTTCATCCCGCATTAGTTGGATCTGCCGTTTTATAATTTTATAACTGTTCAAACTGTTGTTAAACACACTTCATTCACTCACTCACTAAATCAGTCAAACGGTTTGACAGATCCCCATTGCCTCCTGAAACAGTTTGGTTTGACTCAAACCAAACTGTTTCAGGCGGCAGTGGGGATCTGTTGGCACTTGCCGATCAGCTAGTTACAAATTACACACCATGTCATTTAAACATGTAATTTGCTTGCTGTCTGTACCCTTGGCTAATAACCGGGCACGGGTGGCCCAGTCGTCTAAGGCGCCACGATTCGCTGTGCAGAGTTGCATCCCTTAGGCACGCCAGAAACCTATGATTGTGGGTTCGAATCCCGGTTCGCCCCAATTATGTTTCTAGGTTTGTCAGCACCATACCCATGCTTCTTGGTTTCACCGAAGTGGTAAACGTCTGAGACCTGCATCACTTCGGGCTTTCCTCCAACATTAAGCTGACACGCCACGATATAACTGGAATACTGTTAAAAGTGGCGTTAAACCCACTCACTCACTCACTTTGCTAATAACTGTCTTGTCATCAACACTTAGATGTGGTGAAAATGCTTGTGGGTTTCACCAAAGTGATAAACGTCAGTGACCGGCATCACTTTTTTGTTTCCTCCAACATTATGCTGGCAGTATGTGAAGTATATATATTGGGAAGGCTACCACATTGTTGATGACCGTTTTGGAGACAGCCTTAATTGAATGATTAATTTGTGTGTGTGCTATGTGAGTGAAAGACTTAATTGACAAGTCACTGCATCATCAGTTTTAAACCTACTCTGTTCAGTTTGGGTGATTTTGGATTGATGACATTAGGGCTGGGACGGGTAACTCGGGTACGCAGGTCAGGTGGGTACTGAGTAGGAACTGGGTACCCACAGCACTACCCGGACCCGTGGTTAATCACATGATATATTGTTTATTGACAGAAATTATCTAGAACTCTTTGGTTACACTACAAGTCACTAATGTTCCCATTTCTTTCTGACTATGCGCCCATTCCTTCTGACTTTTCATATGGTTGAATAAAGATATAACTTAAGCATGACCAGATCGTTTAACCAGATGCATGTATCTAAAAACGTTTTGCAACCGCTGTGAAATAAAATTCCCAAACAGACATTTTGTATCTCTTGAGACCTACAGTGGGTACCGGGTAGGGTTGGGTAATGGAAGGGTGGGTACCCGGGTAGTAAATTTGGACTCGTCCCAGCCCTAGATGACATTGTAGATTATGAATCCACCCTTAACTCAATACCGACCAGGTGGACTCTATACTGGAAGCCTTCCCCATGTATATCTACTGAGATATTGTTGTGGGCAGCATTTCCCCCTGACTTGCTCGCTTTACCTGTGCTGTGAGTCTCGTGGTGCTGTACATCACTCTGAACCCTGGGGTGTAGCAGCTGGAGTTCATGTGTATTTTCAGCCGAATGAAATGTTTACCAGTTCGCCTGGACTTTATTCTCAGTTGGCATGATTGCTAACAAGTTTGTTGAAGTAACCTTTTGTGTTACGCACCAAATTATTTCAAACAAACTTTTTAGCAACCACGGTGGCAAGGTTTAGACAAAGATAACTCTCTCATTAAGAATGTTTTTGCAGCGGTAGAAACTAACATTTTTAGTCCACTAGTCCTTTTATGATAACATATAGCAAAACTAAAAAAATGGCAAATTTCTACTAGTCATTATAATACCTTAACTATTGGGCAGTTTGGGAAGGACTACAGGACTAGAACTAAGTTCTAACGCTGTGTTAAGGTTCAAACAGTCTTAACGTTTATGAGACATATGTGTATGCCAACCAGATTTTGTACCAGACAAAACCAAGATTTATCTGCTATACATGGTGTCTGTGGTGTGAACGAAAACATGTATGTACGCAAGGCAGCAGTTGGGACATTGTTTTAGTAGGACGAGATCATTAAGTACAATCAGCTTCCTGGAAACCTGGAGATGTATCGTCACGAATTCCTATTACATTCACAGTTTGTGTAACAATGGTAACACTGTCACTGAGAAATCATCAAACTCCTAGCTGGGAGAAGTTTTTGAAGGACAGTTATCGATATGGCAGTTTACGGCTCTGTTATATGCTCCTGAAAAAAGCCAATCCTAAGATTGAAGATAATTTTTCCTGGAAACGTGGAGTTACGTTGCGGCCTTGTGATTTCCTGTTACGTACACACTTTGTGTAACACTGAGAAATATAGAAACTCTTAAGTATGAGTTGTTTTTTAAGAATAATATTGCAGTTATTAATTTTTTGTTAATATTCACCTGAAAAAAGCCAATCAGCATCTCTTCCTTATATTCATATATGCCACGCTCCCAGGTATCTTTTGAAAATGTATACATACAAATGGCGTTGATCTCAGTTGCAACAATTTCATGATACCCTCTGTATTTACTAGAAAGTTGTTGCAGGAGAATTTTTAAGTGTACGTTCATCCAGATGGTCACATCTCCTGGGTCATAGGATGCGGTGATGCAGTGGAAAGGGTATTCCAGTAACTATAGCCATGAAACATACAACACAGGCCATTAGACAGGCCTTGTGGAGTCTGTATTTCTATAGGAATGTCACTTATGTAAAAAAAACTAAATGTGATCGTCATAAAATGAATACAGAATACAACTCCAAACAATGGCTGTTTTATAGAAATATGTGGTGTGAGGTGCTTGACAATTTCCCAGGTGTAGCCATTGTGTTTGTTGATTGTTAAGATGTGTCACTAGTGTACGGCCAGGGTACAAGCTTGGTACAGTTTACAGGCTACATCGCTTGTTTTTACTTCAGTCTTATACACATATCATCTGTCTTGTTTTCTTGTTGTCTTTGAAGTTGTTTTGATGTCATTGATGTCATCACCAGTTTCCAACTGTCAGTCTTTGCAAGAAATATTTTGGTGATTATGTCCCTGCATTGTGCTTTTAAGGCCAAATTTTCATATTACCATTAATAATTCCATATCTTATGTATATTTGGGATTAAGAAAATGTCTATTAAGACTAATGCCCCCCTTTCACTTTGACCACAAATATCTAGAATCACCCGGAATCAGAAACTTTTGAAATTTGTGATGATTCTGCCAATAATGCAAACTTTCGTGTCTAATCGGGTTGAAAAATATGAAGAATGCCAGGAATAGGTTAAGAAACATGTACGAATTACAAGATTCATGTACGGATCATGCACGAATTGTAAGAACCACCTACGACGAAGTTACGAATATGCTGAATGTTGTTCTTATTTAATTCTTACATGATTCGTAGTTGACTTGGAACATTCATGGCTGTTTGGGGATGTTTTCATGTTGAGGACAAGACATTTTGGGAGCCAAGAATCGCTAAGTACAGGCAAGAATGCAAAAGAATCTATTACGAAGTTGTTACGGAACATAAGAATTAATTATGAATGGATTACGAATTTATGATACAGCCACGAAATTGCAATTCGGGGACCCTCCACGAAGGTTTTTGACAAACAAAAACTTTCTCGCTGATTCGACAAACTCCTGCGAACTGTACGAATGTTTGGGAATCAAATAAGATTAATTTAAGAACTTCAAGAAATGATTGAGATTTATCTACGAAAATGAAACATTTCCTATTCAGGGTGATTCGGGATATTTTTGGTCGTAGTGAAATGGGGGCATAAGAAAAGATTCTGTTGCCTTAATATAAAAAAATATTTTTAACACCATGACCAGGTTTGTCATTGAAGGATCACATAAATAAGTCTGATCCAAGTAGAAAGAAACTGGCCTTAAGAGAATACGGCTGAAACACATACACCGTTTTTTCCTTGGGGGGGGGGGGGGGGGGGGGGGGGGGGGGTAGCCTAGTGGTTTAGCATTCGCTTGTCACGCCAAAAACCTGGGTTCGATTCCCCACGTGGGTACAATGTGAGAAGCCCATTTGTGGTGTCCCCTGCCGTAATATTGCTAAAAGCGGCGTAAAACCATACTCACTCACTGACTCACTGACTCACTTTTTCCTTTTGTCTGTATCATGTGTATACAATTTTATGCAATGTATGAACATTCACTAACAGGTGTAAATTTCTCTAAGAGAGACCCCCTTGCTTGTCTTAAGAGGCGACTGCCAAGATCAGGTGATCATGCTTGCTGACTTAATGCATGTCATTGTATCCCAATTGCTTAGATCAATGCTCATGATGTCAATCACCGGATTCTCTGGTCCAGACTCGGTTATTAACAGGCTGACATATAGCTGGAATATTGCTGAGTGCGGCTTTAAACGAACAAATAAATCTGTAGGGGACTGGCAAGAGGGAAATAAGGTCACATCAGATATATGTGTCTGAAAATGGTCAATAGTAGTCAGAAAGAATCACACTTCCATTGTTTCTGTCATTTTGATATCATTCTGAATCATTTTCCCTGTGATACGGCCGGTATGATGCTAACAGCAGAGTAAAACTCAACTCACTCAATCATTTAATGTGTATAAAAGTATTTGTATTTTACTCATTGATCATTGTAGTTCAGATGTTGTTGATGTGTACAGAGCGAGATGCAGATATGTCTGTATATAATTGTACAGGTAGCAGTCAGAGAAAGAAATACATTCATGTTATTACAACTACAGGCAAGTGTTTGTTTTCAATGAGTACTGAAGGAGAGTTGTCTCCCTTGGCTGCCAGGATCTGCAGTTGGTTTGAAACACTGATGATTGTCACCACCAATACCTGGGTACAGGGTTCCACCAATACCTGGGTACAGGGTTCCACCAGTGGTATGAGGCCATTTTCAGGAAGATCTGGTCAGACTTGATTGATGGTGTGTCATCAGTTCCTCCAATCACATAATATCCATCACTGGTTTGTCTGGTCCTGAATCAGTAATTTCCAGGTCCTATGGATGGACTTCTGCTGTCATCCTAACTCAGGCTGACCTACATGACACGTTTGTAGCTGTTCCCACTGAGTATGCTGGGAAGGTCTCAAACAAAATAACCACCACTACACTGCTTGATCAAAGAACTTGGTATGTGGGACATACTAGTATCAAATAATACCACATATAAGGTCAGTACGTTAACTGAGGGAAAGTCTGCAAAAAACATTCATCAGTTCTATCAACCTTTGACTTTACTCTAAACCACGTAGACCTGTCCATTCCTCTTTGTACTGGATTTCAATGACCATTCCGTTTTTGAGAGCTCCATAAACATCCTAGACTAACATCTAGTCTCTGAAATGAACATATCGTACAGATGACCCATGAAGATCCGGGGTAGCATAGGTCTTCAGCAATTTATGCTTGCCGTAAAAAGTGACTATGCTTGTAAGAGGCAGCTAACTGGATCGGGTGGTCAGACTCGCTGACTTGGTTGATGCATGTCATCGATCCCAATTGCGTGGATCGATGTTCATGATGTCAATCACTTGTCTGGTCCAGACTCGATTATTAACAGTGTGCTGTCATATAGCTGGAATATTGTTGAGTGCGGCATTTAACAACAAACAAACAAAGAAAAAATAGTTGTTTTTATCTTACTAAAAAAAATAATAAAAAGGAGCCCATAGACTCTTCATTTTTAGAAATCTAGACTTGCCAAACATTATAGATTTGCATGGGCTGTATTTGATATAGTTGTATCAGGGTCTGTAAGACAGACTATAAACATTCCTACAAAGAGGGATACATTTCTTGGTCAGACAAATGTTTCACCAAATCCCTGTCTCAAAGGCAATCTCATTAAAATCAGATCTTAGTTCTCGCTACCGCTGAACAAAGATCTGAGGACATCCCATTACGGGTCACGTCAGACCGACCTTGCGCGAACTTTGACCGACCAATGGAATAACCAATCAGAAGGCAGCCCTCTCGTGTTTTACGGCACTAATTTCAAATTGACGACTACGCTTCGAAACATATTTCAAATCGACAAATTCTCGATTACAAATTTGAAACCTTTTTAAAGCAAAAGAACATTCTGGGATGGCTAATAGATCGTCTAGATTGTATGGATTCAGTCGTTAAACCCGTAACTATCGTTCGGAGTTAAAGTTTTCGAGGTTGCATGATTAGACATCACATTCCGACTGTCAGTTTCACAATCTGGTAAGCGATGCTCTGATTGGTCGGATGAAAGGTCGTTCTGACGTGACCCGTAATGGGATGTCCTCAGATCTTTGTTTAGCGGTAGCGATAACTGAGGTCTGATTTTAATGAGATTGGTCTCAAAGGTTAATTATGATCCTTAATACAATGGAGGATGGACTTTCTTTATATTCACAGAAAGTATTTGAGACAAGTCGAATTAATGCCATGTGGATTCTCAAACACTTAAAAGAATTTCCTTGAATTGTTGCAATTTCAGAAAAGAACCAAGTTCAATTCTGTCAAAATATTTATTATTCAACTTTGTACACCACTATCCCACATGACAAACTTAAGGAAAAACTTCACTCCTTGAGCCATGGGGGTTTTCTTACAAAACGTGGTGACCATATATTCAGTTACGTATCTATCTTCAGAAGTTCGGGTCAGTAATATTCCTTCAGCTCTAGCATTTTGAGGTACACTCGAGGATGCTCTTTCTTCCAAAGGCTTCAAAGAGCGTCATACGGTTCTTACTCAGGAGTTGTTTGATCAAGGTGACAACATCCAAGGCCTCAGTAAAGCTTTCAAAACGTTTCATGGTAGACATGTGGAGAACGTTTCCTTAAAGACGCACCAGTGACAAACATGATGTCCGATGAAATTCCCTATTTTGACTTGAACCATACGTTCCCTTGTTTTTTCCAGGTGAACAATTGACATGCCTTTGCATGTGTTTGTGACGGATGCCACCGTAGATGCAGGATACGCTCATCTTTCAGGAACTATTTGATAGTGATTCATAAACACATGCTCATGATATAGTCGGAATTGTACAATCGACTCTGCTTTTGGCAAATATTTCCTATTAATACTGGAAAGGCTTTTGACACTTATATTTACATTTTCATTAACTTTCATGTTTAACTATAAAGAGAAAGTGTGTGGGTTATTTTAGTATTAATCTATAGCGTGTTTAGCTTGCATGTCAGGAAATTAGAAAGTGTTTGTTTTGGCTTATTAGCAACGAAGTTAATGCAGGTGTCTTAAATGGTAATGTTGATATTGCATTCATTTTAAAATCTCCGAGGGTATCTTCCTTCTGGTTTGTTTAGTACTGGTGTGCGGCGTCAGGGAACACATGCTTACTTTTTTATGTCAAATCTGTGAGTGGCGGGTTCTGCCTGTAGGGCAGGGCATGCATAACGTTTTCGTTAACAACTGGTGTCATCACTGATTATCGGTGATCCATTCATAAAATTTTCACCGCTAGTTTGCCTTTTTCTCTGGATAATCGAGACTGGTTATTCTCTGTCATTGCCGTTTTTTATACATTTAGATGTTGTTACTGAAAATTTCAGATTTTATTATGGAAATATATTTTGGTTTGGTCAGTTAAGATAACATGTTCAATCTTGTTCATGTCTGCATTGAAATAGTCTCGTATTCCCGAGAGTGAGTGATAAACGTCCTACAAGTGAGCACCGTTTGATATCCTAGCGCCTGATTTCATCTAACAAAGCTGCAGTTGGACTGCCCGTCACTAAGATGGCGTGCAAACAATTGTGTATAAAGGTCAGGAGTCTGTAAATACTATCAGAAATCGTTAGCAATCTCTTTTTCCGAACCCAATCATTTCCGGTTCAATTGGCCATGCTGCCTGCCTGTCATCTGTACTTCATTCGTGGTATTGAAAGGGCGTGTTGATGATAGCTGCAACACGTCCAACTCGGCCCTTGTTATAAATATTTGAAGAAGTCATCCCCCAAAAGTGTCAGAGCACGAGGGGGATAATCTGATTTATTGATTTCCTGTGTAAAAGGTTTGTAGAAACTGCGGAAGTGAGACTTCTTATTCGCTCGACTCAATAGCAGCAGCGATTGAGCTTATGAAATGTGACAATCGCTCGGATGTTTTGTTGAGCGACGCTCTACCAGCGCGCATGGTAGACTTTAGCAAGAATTGATGTGGGAATCGTTGGGGATTACTGAATTATTTCATCACGGTACAATGTCTACATGTGAAGATCGGGGGATATTCCCAACAAACGTGCATCGGGTCGGCCTATTCCGTCATCTGGCTGTAGTTGTAGTGGACGATTTCACTCTATATCTCATTCCGATGGATTCCTCCGCATAAGGTTCAACATGATAGGTGATTTTTGAGAAATACGATGGTTATAGACATTGTATACAATTTGATATATACAACCATACATGCATGCATTGTCAGCTGACAAGACAGCGGACAAGATAGCTGACAAGACAGCAGACAAGACAGCAGACAAGACAGCAGACAAGACAGCAGACAAGATAGCTGACAAGACAGCAGACAAGATAGCTGACAAGACAGCAGACAAGATAGCTGACAAGACAGCAGACAAGACAGCAGACAAGACAGCAGACAAGATAGCTGACAAGACAGCAGACAAGATAGCTGACAAGACAGCGGACAAGATAGCTGACAAGACAGCAGACAAGATAGCTGACAAGACAGCAGACAAGATAGCTGACAAGACAGCAGACAAGACAGCAGACAAGACAGCAGACAAGACAGCAGACAAGATAGCTGACAAGACAGCAGACAAGACAGTAGACAAGATAGCTGACAAGACAGCAGACAGGACAGCAGACAAGACAGCAGACAAGACAGCAGACAAGACAGCAGACAAGACAGCAGACAAGACGGTAGATTTGACAGCTGACAAGACAGCAGACAAGACAGACAGCAGGCAAGACAATAGACAAGGCAGCGGACAAGACAGCAGACAAGACAGCAGACAAGACAGCTGACAAGGCAGCGGACAGGACAGCAGACAAGACGGTAGATTTGACAGCTGACAAGACAGCAGACAAGACAGCGGACAAGACAGCGGACAAGACAGCAGACAAGACAGCAGACAAGATAGCTGACAAGACACCAGACAAGACAGCAGACAATACAGCAGACAGGATAGCTGACAAGACAGCAGGCAAGACAGCGGATAAGACAGCAGACAAGACAGTAGACAAGATAGCTGACAAGACAGCAGACAAGACAGCAGACAAGACAGCAGACAAGACAGCAGACAAGACAGCAGACAAGATAGCTGACAAGACAGCAGACAAGATAGCTGACAAGACAGCAGACAAGACAGCAGACAAGACAGCAGACAGGACAGCAGACAAGATAGCTGACAAGACAGCAGACAAGATAGCTGACAAGACAGCGGACAAGATAGCTGACAAGACAGCAGACAAGACAGCAGACAAGACAGCAGACAAGACAGCAGACAAGATAGCTGACAAGACAGCAGACAAGATAGCTGACAAGACAGCAGACAGGACAGCAGACAAGACAGCGGACAAGACAGCAAACAAGACAACAGACAAGACAGCAGACAGGACAGCAGACAAGACAGCGGACAAGACAGCAGACAAGACAGCAGACAAGACAGCAGACAAGACAACAGACAAGACAACAGACAAGACAGCGGACAGGACAGCAGACAGGACAGCAGGCAAGACAGCAGACAAGACAGCGGACAAGACAGCAGACAAGACAGCAGACAAGACAACAGATAAGACAGCAGACAAGACAGCGGACAAGACAGCAAACAAGACAACAGACAAGACAGCAGACAGGACAGCAGGCAAGACAGCAAACAAGACAGCGGACAAGACAGCAGACAAGACAGCAGACAAGACAGCAGACAAGACAGCGGACAAGACAACAGACAAGACAGCAGACAAGACAACAGACAAGACAACAGATAAGACAGCAGACAAGACAGCGGACAAGACAGCAAACAAGACAACAGACAAGACAGCAGACAGGACAGCAGACAAGACAGCGGACAAGACAGCAAACAAGACAACAGACAAGACAGCGGACAAGACAGCAAACAAGACAGCAGGCAAGATAGCGGACAAGACAGCGGACAAGACAGCGGACAAGACAACAGACAAGACAGCAGACAAGACAACAGACAAGACAACAGATAAGACAGCAGACAAGACAGCGGACAAGACAACAGACAAGACAGCAGACAAGACAACAGATAAGACAGCAGACAAGACAGCGGACAAGACAGCAAACAAGACAACAGACAAGACAGCAGACAGGACAGCGGACAAGACAGCAAACAAGACAACAGACAAGACAGCAGACAGGACAGCAGACAAGACAGCGGACAAGACAACAGACAAGACAGCGGACAAGACAGCAAACAAGACAGCAGGCAAGATAGCAAACAAGACAGCGGACAAGACAGCGGACAAGACAGCGGACAAGACAACAGACAAGACAGCAGACAAGACAACAGACAAGACAACAGATAAGACAGCAGACAAGACAGCGGACAAGACAACAGACAAGACAGCAGACAAGACAACAGACAAGACAACAGATAAGACAGCAGACAAGACAGCGGACAAGACAGCAAACAAGACAACAGACAGGACAGCAGACAGGACAGCAGACAAGACAGCGGACAAGACAGCAAACAAGACAACAGACAAGACAGCGGACAAGACAGCAAACAAGACAGCAGACAAGACAGCGGACAAGACAACAGACAAGACAGCAGGCAAGACAGCAAACAAGACAGCGGACAAGACAGCAGGCAAGACCGCAGACAAGACAACAGATAAGACAGCAGACAAGACAACAGACAAGACAGCAAACAAGACAACAAACAAGACAGCAGGCAAGACAGCAGGCAAGACAGCAAACAAGACAACAGACAAGACAGCGGACAAGACAGCAGACAAAACAACAGACAAGACAGCGGACAAGACAGCAAACAAGACAACAGACAAGGCAGCAGGCAAGACAGCAAACAAGACAACAGACAAGACAGCGGACAAGACAGCAGACAAGACAACAGACAAGACAGCGGACAAGACAGCAAACAAGACAACAGACAAGACAGCAGGCAAGACAGCAAACAAGACAGCGGACAAGACAGCGGACAAGACAACAGACAAGACAGCAGACAAGACAGCGGACAAGACAGCGGACAAGACAGCAAACAAGACAACAGACAAGACAGCGGACAAGACAACAGACAAGACAGCAGACAAGACACCAGACAAGACAGCAGACAAGACAACAGACAAGACAGCGGACAAGACAGCAGACAAGACAACAGACAAAACAGCAGGCAAGACAACAGACAAGACAGCAGACAAGACAGCAAACAAGACAACAGACAAGACAGCAGGCAAGACAGCAAACAAGACAGCGGACAAGACAACAGACAAGACAACAGACAAGACACCAGACAAGACAACAGACAAGACAACAGACAAGACAACAGACAAGACAACAGACAAGACAGCAAACAAGACAACAGACAAGACAGCAGGTAAGACAACAGACAAGACAGCAGGCAAGACAGCAAACAAGACAACAGACAAGACAACAGACAAGACAACAGACAAGACAGCAGACAAGACAGCAGGCAAGACAGCAGGTAAGACAACAGACAAGACAGCAGGCAAGACAGCAAACAAGACAGCGGACAAGACAGCGGACAAGACAACAGACAAGACAGCAGACAAGACAACAGACAAGACAGCGGACAAGACAGCAAACAAGACAACAGACAAGACAGCGGACAAGACAGCAGGCAAGACAACAGGCAAGACAACAGACAAGACAGCAGACAAGACAACAGACAAGACAGCGGACAAGACAGCAAACAAGACAACAGACAAGACAGCGGACAAGACAGCAGGCAAGACAGCAGGCAAGACAACAGACAAGACAGCTGTTGTACTAAGGATCTGACCTCGTGGAGACTCGGGTTGGAATAGCTAGATCCCCATCACTCTGTTGCTAAGGCGACTAAATGGATCGTGTGGCCAGGCTCGTTGACTTGATTCAGTGCGTGTCACCGCACCCCGACAGTCTGGGGCATTGCTCATAATATCATCCACTGGTTTGGCTGGCCCTGGCACGATTATTGACATACCAGTGTGACACAGATGACGTAAAACCACAAACAAAAGTATGATCTCTGCCAAAATGTATATACTTTGTCCGTGTAATGACGGTCTTGAGCACAGCAAATGCAGCGAAAGAAAATATAGATATGCGCCAAGACAACTAGTTTGTCCGTTTAATGACTTGGTAATGTTGCACAGGTGGGTTGACGAGAGAATTCTGAAACGGGAAATATCCTTATTTCAATATGTGTCAAAAGTCATGATGGCTTTGAGCAATGAGAGCAAGGGAATAAATCCTGGAAACCGTTTTCAGTAGATGGTTATCGTCTCTTGTACTTCTTCATATTTTCCATCATTGCTACCACTTTGACAATTCTGCAACATGATTGTCGACAGTAACCAATGCTTGCCACAAGAGCCGACTAAGAGAATCGCGTAGGTTGTTACGTCTATTTTTAGAAATATTCCATCCAGTTCACGACAGGGAACAGAGAACTGGGCTTTAAAGACATTGTACGCATGTAGAGAATGAACGCACGTCATGGCGTGACGAATTGACGCTGTAACCACTAGGTTACCTCAGCGCTTACTTAAAACAAGGAGCGCGCGGCCACAATATTTGAACTCTCTGACCGTGTGTTATTAATTCTATTTCCCCCCATCGTCGCTCACTTCTTCAGTTAATGCTTTCCCTTGTGGATTCCAGGGAAGGAAATGGTCCCCGTAACCCATGCTTGTCATAAGATCCGACTACCATGACTGAGAGTGTGTTTGGTCGTCAATGTTAAGCAGTCTCACGACCAAGGACACCAGAAATTGGCTTAAAAGAGTTAACCCCTGTGAAGCATCGATCCTGTGTCATGAACTTGACGAGCCGTTGCTGCAACTACTGTCCTGCAACACAGCCCACTTCAAATAAGACCCGTGAAGATCCGGGGTTAACATAGGTCTTCAGCAGCCCATGATTGTCGTAAAAGGCGACCATGCTTGTCGTAAGAGGCGACTAACGGGATCGGGTGGTCAGACTCGTTGACTTGGTTGATGCATGGCATCGGATCCCAATTGCGTGGACCGATGCTCATGATGTCAATCACTGGATTGTCTGGTCCAGACTCGATTATTTACAGACCGCCGTCATATAGCTGGAATATTGCCGCGTTAAGAAAGAGTGTCGCGTTAAGAAAGAAAGAAACAAACTTAAAATAAGGGTTGAGCTGTTACACTCTGATTGTATAGTCGTGTGTGTACAGGTTCGGCGAGTTGATGTCATTGCAAACCGACGGCATGGGTTGCTCATTATATCAACCACTGGTTTGCCTGTCCAGATTTGATATGTCCTGGTTGATGTGGCACATTTGTAATTGTGTGGCATTGATTCCGCCACAACCTCACTACTCACACCACTGCCAAGTGAAAGGTCTTTGAGTGACATCTTCATCAATTATTGAGAGCGTAATTTGTAAACCCATCAAACACAACTTAATGATCACATTGTCTATTGTAATACTAATTGTTTCTGGGTCAGAACATTTTCAGAGAAATCACAGTCGTTAATTAACCTGTGCGGATGAAAAACAATCACTAAAGGCGATAACATGAGACACAATCAGTAATGACGCTTATCCCAGATTAAATATGGCGTTTTCTTGTCAAAGGACGAACCCACTTTTCTTGACTGCCTTGATCTTTCATACGACCACATTAAGCCAGTTCTTGTGATCAGACGACATCAGAGAAGAGCAGACGACATCTGTCAATGGATTTTTTCCGATAATGACGGTAACTAGTTTTGGCTTGAGCCGCGTTCGTCCTCGTTACTGACTTGTTATGGTGACGGGACAAAGAAAACATACTTCGGTCGCTGGAGTATTTTTGTTACAATTTAGTCTTTTAGAATATTGTTGTTAGATCACAGCGAAGACATTGCTAAGCTGAACTGCAGTTGGTCGTCTGGTGTGCAGTTCATTCTGCCTTTGATTCTGTGACATAAGGCGATTGCATGTGAGTTGTCCTTCAACTTATACACATGTGAATGCATCAATAGCTGTCTGCCCATACTGTCACAGTAAATATCAATATTGATGCCAGTAATGTAATGTCATACTTACACATAAATATATATTTGCAGGTAGTCCCTAGGTGGTCTTGTTATGTTTAACCCGTGAAGATCGGGGTAGGATAAACCTTCAGAAACCCATGCTTGCCGAAAAAGACTTTGCTTGTCGTAAGAGGCGACTAACGGGATCGGGTGGTCAGGCTCGCTGACCTGGTTGATGCATTTCATCGTATCCCAGTTGCACGGATCGATGCTCATAAAGTCAATCACTGGATTATCTGGACAAGATTTGACTATTTATAGACCGTCGTCATATAGCTTGAATATTGCTGAGTGAGGCGTTCAACAACAAATTGTTATGTTTATAGTGATATTTCTTTAAGGTTATATACAAGACTAAGTTTTAAATATTAATCTGTAATAGTCTAATTATATTACTATCCTTTTATGACAGGTTATAATATAGTTTAAAATTTATCAGTATTAATGTTTAATTTTTTATTGTCACGATATGGCGGAATACCGAAGTGAGTTTAAATTTTAACTCACTCATTTTCATATAGATTTAATACGCCAACGTTAAACAATAATAAGTCTCGATTATCTGTAAAAACAGATTTCGTTGGGTGAAAAAGGCAAAGTCGTGTTGAAATTTATACCAATCAGTGCATCATCACGACGCAGCGTGTCCTTTAGCCTACATCAAAGTCTAGTTTCCACCTAGGCTATATATGACATGGATCAGTGGGCATTCTTGCCTCAGGAAGAGTGAGTATGGTTTTACGCCGCTTTTAGCAATATTCCAGCAATATCACGGCGGGGGACACCAGCAATGGGCTTCAAACATTGTACCCATGTTGGGAATCGAAACTGGGTCTTCAGCGTGACGAGCGAACGCTTTAACCACTAGGCTACCCGGGCGTCCTGCCTCAGGAAGATGAAATCATCGATGACACGCGGTGTTCGCGAAAAGGGTAAAAATCTGTTAAAAAGACAGGATAGACCTTTAGGGGTGTCTTGCTGTGTACATTCACCACAAATCCAATTTATTCAGGTGATGTCTATACTGAGAACAGAATCGACAAACCCTTTCCATGGTCACAAGAAATATCTGCTAAAAGCGAAGCCGATTGTACGATTCAAACAGTGTGTCATGAGCATGCGTTATGAGTGAGTGAGCGAGTTGGGTTTAACGCCGATTTTAACAGTATTCCAGTTATATCACGGCGTGTCAGCTTAATGTGGGAGGAAAGCCCGAAGTGATGCAGGTCTCAGATGTTGACCACTTCGGTGAAACCCACGAGCACGGGTATGGTGCTGACAAACGTAGAAACATAATCGGGGCGAACCGGGATTCGGACGTACAATCATAGTTTTCTGGCGTGCCCAAGGGACGCAACTCTGCACAGCGAATCGCGGCGCCTTAGACGACTGGGCCACCCGTGCCCCGCATGGGTTATGAATCCCATTTTCAAGTATTGTCTGACCAAGCTTAGTATAAGGTGCCGACCCTAATTCTAGTTCAGTGGTACCCCATGTTCTTTACAGTACAAGGTGAGGTGAAATGGGGTTTAACGTTGCGTCCAAGATTATTGCACCTATATAGCGACGTGCATGCACGTGTGTGTGTGTGGCTGCTTGTACTAGTCCGGACTGATGCCGATTTATAGTGCTAGCCCACTGAGATATCATGTCGCAGTTTAATATGAATACCCCACTCAGACACAGTATACTGACTCCGAGCCGACCAGTCCTTGTTTTAGCCCCTTAATGCCGAGCGCCAGACAGGGTAACAACAAGTACCATCTTTTAACGTCTTTTGGTATGACGTGGCCGGGGATCGAACCCCGGAGCTACCGCTCTCCGGGCGGACGCTCTACCACTAGACCACGGAGGCGGTCCTTTACAGTACAAAGAGCATACATCAAAACATAAATCAAACGCTGATAACCTTACAGTATTTCTGCAACAAAGCTGCAGGGAAGATGAAAAACTACCTAACTGCCCTACTTTGAAATTAAGCGTAATCGGTACCTCCAAACATTAATCGATTTATGGAGAAGCGTCATTTCTGAGTGCATTTAGATTTTACAAAGTACACCTTGGTATAAATATTTTAACAAAGATCGTTAAAATCAGTTTTCTCAAGATGGCTTAAGGCATAAGTGCCCCACTCCCATCTGCATATAGCTTTAGCTTTATCACTAGTATAGATCTAGTGCTATTTAATATGATCTGATCATATATCTGAAAAGCACGTGCGTGTCACGTACCAAGGGGCAATAAACAGAAAGTGACACAAATGAAACCAACACACGTCTGTCACTCGCGTTGTTGTAGACGTTTGAGCTTTATGTTTCTTCACCAAACGATTTTCTTTCTCAAATTGAACAATAAATTTTAATTTTAAAATACCACGTTGGTAGAACTGAAATTTGGAGTATATGATAATGATGATTAGTTTCTGGAAGGTACCACCGTCAGATTGAAGGTGTTGTCCATATCAAAAAGTATTTACCAAATGCGTTGATAACCATGCTCTTTAAAGTTTAGGAATATTACTTTTAGATCACACCGTTCTCTTGCATGAAACGGGGACACGGGTGGCCCAGTCGTCTAAGGCGCCGCGATTCACTGTGCAGAGTTGCGTCCCTTAGGCACGCCAGAAACCTATGATTGTGGGTTCGAATCCTGGTTCGCCCCGATTATGTTTCTAGGTTTGTCAGCACCATACCCGTGCTCGTGGGTTTCACTGAAGTGGTAAACGTCTGAGACCTGCATCACTT